AAAGAAGAAGAAGAACTTAAAAGGTGAACCTAATATATAGAGATAGACTCATTACATTCAAAGCAAGATAATTCAAGCCGTGATGTGTCATAATTGAGATGATTACGGTTTACAGCTCATGAAAACCCCAAATCCACAATCTCAGAAAATTAGAATATTGTGAAAAGGTCAATATTCTAGGCTCAAAGTGTCCCACTCTAATCAGCTAATTAAGCCGTAACACCTGCAAAGGGTTCCTGAGCCTTTAAATGGTCTCTCAGTCTGGTTCAGTAGGAATCACAATCATGGGAAAGACTGCTGACCTGACAGTTGTGCAGAAAACCATCATTGACACCCTCCATAAGGAGGGAAAGCCTCAAAAGGAAATTGCAAAAGAAGTTGGATGTTCCCAAAGTGCTGTATCAAAGCACATTAATAGAAAGTTATGTGGAAGCGAAAAGTGTGGAAGAAAAATGTGCACAAGCAGCAGGGATGACCGCAGCCTGGAGAGGATTGTCAGGAAAAGGCCATTCAAAAGGGTTGGGGACTTTCACAAGGAGTGGACTGAGGCTGGAGTCAGTGCATCAAGAGCCACCACACACAGATGGATCCTGGACGTGGGCTTCAAATGTCATATTCCTCTTGTCAGGCCGCTCCTGAACAACAAACAACATCAGAAGCGTCTTACCTGGGCTAAAGAAAAACAGACCTGGTCTGTTGCTCAGTGGTCCAAAGTCCTCTTTTCTAATGAGAGCAACTTTTGCATCTCATTTGGAAACCAAGGACCCAGAGTCTGGAGGAAGAATGGAGAGGCACACATTGCAAGATGCTTGAAGTCCAGTGTGAAGTTTCCACAGTCTGTGTTGATTTGGGGAGCCATGTCATCTGCTGGTGTTGGTCCACTGTGCTTCATTAAGTCCAGGGTCAACGCAGCCGTCTACCAGGAGATTTTGGAACACTTCATGCTTCCTTCCACAGATGAGGTTTATGGGGATGCTGACTTCATTTTCCAGCAGGACTTGGCACCTGCCCACACTGCCAAAAGCACCAAAACCTGGTTCAATGACCGTGGGATTACTGTGCTTGATTGGCCAGCAAATTTGCCTGACCTGAATCCCATAGAGAATCTATGGGACATTGCTAAGAGAAAGATGAGAGACATGAGACCGAACAATGCAGAAGAGCTGAAGGCAGCTATTGAAGCATCCTGGTCTTCCATAACACCTCAGCAGTGCCACAGGCTGATAGCTTCCATGCCACACTGCATTGAGGCAGTAATTGCTGCAAAAGGGGCCCAGACCAAGTACTGAGTACATATGCATGCTTATACTTTTCAGAGGTCCGATATTGTTCTGTGTACAATCCTTGTTTTATTGATTGCATGTAATATTCTAATTATCTGAGATTGTAGATTTGGGGTTTTCATCAGCTGTAAGCCATAATCATCACAATTACGACACATCACAGCTTGAACGATCTTGCTTTGCATGTAATGAGTCTATCTCATATATTAGTTTCGCCTTTTAAATTGCATTACTGCAATAAATGAACTTTTGCACGATATTCTAATCTTTCAAGTTTCACCTGTAATCTAGAAAATAGCCTGCACATTGAAGAGGATGCTTAATAAGGTGACAGGCCTTCATTCAGACAAACTATTATTGAGAATGACTTTCAATGTTGTGTCCTTAGCAAAAGTCTGAGAAAAGCCAGGATTTTTCTAGATACTTTTAAAAACTGTCTTCTAGAACCTGATTTTCCAGTTAAACTGAGGTTATCCTTTGCTTTCCACAAGAGAAGATGGAATCCAACTTTCCTTCCACATCAGACCAAACCTTTGGGTCCAAAAAGGCCACATTTCCTGGCAGTTAACAAGTTTCCACCTCCTTTTTACATTAATTTAAAAATAATGAAGGGGAAGCAAAGCAAAGTTCAAAGTTCCTGCAAAGCAAAGTTCAAGCATAACCTATGTATCAGAATTTACATCTGGATTCCATTTAGACCCAAGAGGCATCTTTAGGGGGGGGGAAATGATAATAGTTTGAGCCTGAATGCTTTGTTATAAAGTGTACCCATCTGTCATTTTTTCTAAAGAAAAACAAATGTGAACTGTACTGGTAGGAAGTATTTTGAGAGGATAAAAAGGTGGGGTCTTTTGATAAATATGTTGTTACAATTGGCAATACCCACAATAGCAGACATTTTGTGGAACTTCCGTTACACATTTTCAAAATTCCAAATGAGCCCATTGGCTCAAAAGATTGGGGTCCCTTGGCCTAATCATAAGAATCCACCTAACTTCCAGTCTGTCCTTCCGTTCTTATGATCCTCCAGACTGTTTCCACTCCTGCTAAGCCTCCATTGGGTCCTGTTGTGGTATGTGCAATGCCAAGTGGAAGGAATGTACTGTTTGGAGAGACCAAATGCAAACAGCAGAGATCCTTCTTGTGTCAGCCTGATGATGATTTATTGGCTCTACCATGCCACATACAAGCCCTCCTAGCTTCACTAAGGCTCAAGAAGATGTTCCATACACCACAGGGCTAAGCTGACAATCAGATGACAGCTCGCCTACCCCAAATTCCTCTTCTTCCTTTGCTGACCTCTACCTCGGCATCTCAGGAACGCTAGCAGCCATGGGGGAAGCAGATTCAGAATGTAAAAGAAGCCCCAAACTATCAAATAAACCAAGGAGAACCTCTTGAAGGTACAGCAGCTATTGACCAATAACAACCACTTTTCAGTCACAGACAATGGTGAGTCTGTTCTGAATTTAGCAACTAGAGAATTTCAGCTCATAGCAGAATTGAGCACAAAAGCCATAGAGCATCTCTAGTTTCAGTAGCTGCCTTTTAATTGTGATCATGTCTCTCTCCCTCTCCGGACATGCTATATGATACGATATCTCCTAGAACACTGACCAAGACCACTGGAGGAAAGATACCATCACCATTCTCCTACTCTTTATTTGCATGGCACAAATTGAATGTTCTGAACTTCTGAGCCGAAAACAGTAAGATAAATCATAAAAAAGAGAACATTTTCAAAAAGTAATAAATCTACTCTAAAAATATCAATCCCAACAGATCACCAAAAAAAAGAGTATGACAAGAATGAATTATACAGTCATATACCTGCTAGTTCACCCAATAATCACAACATACTTATGTCCTGAGGTAAATGAACTAGTCAGGTTTTCATTGCTTTCCTGAAACTCGGGAGATTAGGAATAGACCCAATCTCCATAAGGAGGCAGTTCCAAAGCATCAGGGTAGCAGTTGACAATCTCTTTAATGTCCTCTCAGATGACTTTCTCAGTTAAATGGGACTGGAGGGTGTTGATCCTATTAATCTGATCAGAGATATAAAAATACAGGAAAATGTGGTCCTGCAATTTACCAGGTGTAGGGCCTTAAAGGTAACTACTAGCATTTTGGCATCAGAACTCTTTTTACAAACTTATCTAAAAAGAAATATTAGAAATCAGACTAACGTCCAAAATAATTGGACTTAGTGAAGGCTTCTTGAGCAAGAGGCACAGAAGAGGGAAGCAGCTCCCTCCCCATAAAAAAGTGTTTAATTGCTGCTCAGATCTAACCCTGTCATCTCATAAAAGGCCTTAACTAGCCATGAGGGGCAAGGATCTAGCTGGAAAGTGGTGGAACCAACATCACAGGAGTTATATTGACTTCCTTAGATTCCTTCTAGAATCTGAGCAGGTGCCCTTCTATTTTAGCCCCTCTTAACTATATTTAACAGCAAGGTATCAGTAACAGAGTCTTTCAAGTTTTGGGGTTCTATAATCTCCTGGATTTGAAATAGAGACATTGGAACTATCATTAAAAAGGTATAAGAAGAAATGTTCTTCCTGTGTCAACTGGACTATACAACTGCAACACAATTAGTGAAGTCCATATCTTCCAGATTGCTGCTCCTGGAGGCCCCCTCGACTTCTATAGAATCCTACAAATGACAGCTGTTCATATCAAGGCATAAATACAAAGCTCTCTGCATCCCATGTTGGCTTCCAATGCCACTGCAGGCTATTCCTCACCATTCTGTGTCTGATTCAAGATATCAAGAGTGGAATCCATCTGTTGAATCAGCCATGGAGTCCACATTGGAAAAATCACTGATGGACTCCATATCCACAATATAATAATCAGCCATGGAGTCCACATCAGATAAATCACTGATGGACTCTATATCCATAGCATATTAATCAGCCAATTATTAGAGATTTTTCCAAAATAGGGGTCCATGGTTTTTCTGATCTGAATTCCATGGCTGATTATTATGATGTAGATGTGAAGACCATTAGTGATTTTTCCAATGTGGACTGTTAAGGACATTCAGGATATATAAAAAGAGCAACAACTCTTTTATTTAGTATTTTATTTTTGCAGCTCTCACATGAAGAAAGAGCCATTTGTCCATTTTGTCCTATTCACTATGCTGTGTGCAGTCTGCAAACTCAGAGACACCATATCTGATACATCCCTCCAATTCACTCATCCAGAGAGCTGAGAGAATATGTATAGTTCCCTTAATGAAGTAAGGACAAAAGAACTTAGGTGCAAATTTGTATATGTTAGGCAATGCCCACAATAGGTTGTCTCCATTATGTTGTAGCCAGGGAAGTGTTAATAGCAGGGTAATGAATAGAATAGCTCCACTCAGGGCTTGAGATAGAGTACACAGTTCCTATTGCTCTAGCCTCAAAAAGAGCAAAAATATTCAACAAACATTTTATCTACCCAAAACAGATAAACACTAAAACACAGGTTTTGAGAAATGTCATTTGAATGAAATGGAGTACAATGGGATTCACTGATATACTCCTATTCAGCTAAGTCCAAATGATATATCAGATTCTAAAAGGGTGTATATCAGAGGTGGAAAGAATAGCATTTGCTTATTTATTTGAAACAGTCTTTATATTATGTATTTTTCATTAAAGGAAATCTCATAGCTCTAAGTACGTTTTACTCCATTTATGAAATTTATTCACCAGCTAAATCTAGGTAGGTTCTAGACAATTTCTATTCTATCTTGAATTTTTCTTCCCACATCCTGCTTTTTTATGTTAATGGTGAGAGAACAGAGACTTTATACAAGCAGACAACACTGAAGGCCAACATGCCTCAACCATGAAACAAAAAATGAGAAGTGACTGGAAGTAAAAGGGAAAAAAATCTTTGGGAGAAGATATTGGAAGGAAGCTAAAAAGGAAAATATGGGAGAAAATTAAATTTGAAAAATAATGTCTGGGAATGCATTTTGAACAGTATTTGGAAGAGATCGGAAACTTTACAGAGAAAGTGTTTTTATAGCAGGTTATCTAATTTAATTATTTCAAAAGTGTGTAGAATGGTTTCTGTTGGACTGTATCAGACCAACATATTTTTAACCAAAAAAGTCACCCATATTTCTTTCTTCTATGTTCCTGGTATCTAGTACTAAAAGATGGTGCATCAGAACGCAAGTTTCTGTTGGAATCTAAGGCATTTGAAAGTTATATTTTTCAATGGTCTTATAACTGTACAAAAATCAAGGAACATCACAATTGCTCTGCAACTTATTTAACAACTGGATACATTTTCCTTTCAAACCATGTGGCTGCGCTTCATTGTCCAGTTCAGTGTCCCATCATGTGCACACCGGGAAGTATATGTTCTCCAATCAGAAGCAAAAATCATCACTATCTTCAAATTCTCTCAAGAGGAAGGCCTAGATCCATCTCTTTACCAACCATCTATGCATGAAAAGGGAGTTCCTCTTTCAGGATATCTCACAAAGCTGTATCTCTAAAGCTAGGGCCAAGAAAGTCAGTTCAGCATGTTCCATATATGCATAATTTATGGAGTAGCCTTTCTTTCCTCCACACATACCCCAACTCCTTTCAAAGGCATTTCAACACAGCAGGTCTGGGCATAATCAACTCCAGGAATTTCCATTCAAGGATTCATGTTTTTTTAAAGATTTAACTGTTTCAGAATAAAGTATGTTTGACAAAAACTCAAGAGTTCCAAAATGTGAAACCCACTATTTGTGGGCAGGATTAGGCAAAGATGTTTCACTGCCACAAATGAAAGACAGCACCTGAACTGCAACCGGAATATCTGGAGAAGAAATGGAGGACAGTGTATGACTTCAAATTGGTGTAACATTACAAAGGACATTATTTTTTTTAGTGTGCCCTCAAGATATTGCAGATGTCAGCATTATCAGGTACATCAGTAATGGTGAACTTTTTGGCCTCAGCATGTCAAACACTCAGAAAATACTTAACCTGACTCTGCTGCCATGTCATGTACTCCACCCCTTGAACAAAAGAGAAACAATTATTTACATATTCATTTTTTAAAAAATACAGTCTAATCACATGTGGTGCTATATATTATATAAAAAAACATCAGATAGTTTCAAAAATGAAATACATGTAAATCAAACGTAAAACAAATTCATTTTCGGAAGAAGCCTGATAGCATGTTCCTTTTGTGCAACCTCTGGGGGGTCCAGAGCCCGTGAGAAGCAAACTCCATTCTTGCAGTCACCAAAAATTGTGTGAGAATATGGCTCCTGGGGGTTGGTAAACACTGGCATGTCATTCAAAAGATTGTGGCATGTCACTTTTGTCATGTGGGTCATAGGTTTGCAATCACTGCAATAGACCACACAGGAAATATGGGCAAATAAACTAGTAACTGCAAAGCTACATTAACAGAATCTTGCAAGTCTGAAAGTAGCATTCTTGTACTGCCATCCTGATAATGTAGGGAGCATCCCTCCTGAACCTCTTGGTCTTCATGCTCCCTCTTATCTAACCATACCCTAGACAGCATCTCTTTGCTGGGATACCATGAAGTCTGCTGCTGCTTCAGGTGATCACTTGGGCTTTGCACATTGTCAGGCAGGCTCAATCTTTTTCTTGGCAAGGACACTGCAGTGGATGTTTGCCATGTTCAAGCATGGCTATCAATTGTTTCTTGGTTGAGAGGCTCTCACAGTGATCTAGAGGAAAGGTTAACAGGCTGTTGGAAAGCCTGTCCTGAATACAGATCTCATCAAAGCCGTTATGATTTATGTATTGAGCATCTAAGCCTGCTTGGAGGAACCCTGTTTACATGATCTGTAACAGTTTAAAGGGGCATGGGTTAATACTTTTGTTCCAACCAGTCTACAGGCAATTCCTCCTCCCACCCACTCTTTCAAAGAAGATATAAAGGAAGAGAAAGATTTATCTTCCCTATAGAACTTGGCCTTGCTTACTGGAGAAGGAATGGGCACACCTCAGCTTGTCTACGGTCTCTCTCTCATCCTGTTGATCCAAACAACTCCTTCCCAACTCACTGATGGCAACATGATGCAAAAGTCAGGCACCTGGATCAGAGACGTATTACAGAGACAACTAGGTATGACAACAACTGCTTGGAAATAGGTTAAGGACTCCTACTATTACTGACTTGATTCACCAAGACATGGAACTGCCATGCACTAGGACACCAGCAATGGTGATAAAAGGGTTACTCAGTTGACAGACTATAGCTCATTAATCTTATATTTAAGCAGCCTAGGTTTAAATACCTACTCTTCTGCAAATTTCCAGGGTGGGTTGGTGCATCATGTTAAATCAGGTCAAAAGACGACCACGAGGCTCCATTTCCTTAATTTACAGCTTGCTATTTTTTTTAAACTTTATTATAGTTTTATGTGATATAATGTATTGGGCAACTTACAATGTATTTAATGTGTTGCATGTACATGGAAATGGATTAATTTAGTAACCAAAGTAAGTACATCATGTAAACTCAATTCCTATAATGTTCCAGAACATTGCTAGTGTTCTGAGTTTTACAGAAGTCTATCTACATTAGCAGTTGCAGAGAAGATTTTTGAAGTCCTAATACAGGAGTATAAAATCCAAAAGGTGCATTCTATTTATAAATCACAGAAGATGCTGAGAGATTCCTGGAAAAAGAGAGTGGCGTGGGGAGGTAAACAGGGGGCATAAATAGGAATAGCAACAATTCTAAATGCTGCATTAAACGAAAGCAGAAGGACGTTTCAGAAGAGGCAGGTGAAGGAGAAAGGAAGGGCAAGTAAGAATGGAATAGGCTCAAGAAAATCAAGGAGGTTGGGAACATCGTGGCTAGATGTGGGGGGGATAATGTAAACGGAACAAAAATAGCATGAATGAAAGAAAAGGCTATCAATTGCCAAATGAATTTTTAGCATCAGGGTATCAGTAACCAGAATCTTACAAAACAAAATTATTGAATTGTTTTAGGCATCCAACACCTAAGATATACCTGTGCCTTAGGTCACCCATACATTAAGATTCTATCTATTTTATCATGGTACTTAGAAGATGAGGGAGGGAGAGAGATCTCTCTCTTTTTTCCTTCTTGTTGAACAATCTTACTATACTAATCTTCTTCTCACGAATAGAAAGATATGGAATGCACAAACACATACACCCCCCAAGCATTGCTTGAATTAGAATTAGTTATCATAGCATAGCCAAAAGTAAGTAATGATAAAAAATATAATTTAGTATCTGAGGCACCACAGGTTTCTTGAAATGTGACAAAGGGTCATCTTTTGTTTGTTTGTTTTTGCCTTTTTCATTAATTTTAGGCAGAGACAAAGTTGAAGGAAATGTTTGGTATACAGAGAAAAGCATGCACTGTGTGATATTCTCTCTATTTGGTAGATGTGTATTGATATCCATTATTCACAGTTCAGAATACAGTATATGCATTTTATAAGGTGTAATATGTATTATTAACAGGATAACTGACAGCTTTCGATAAAGTGGACTACCGCTAAAATGATAGAAATGTAGACCAGTCCAATGACATGAAAACTGTGATGGTGTGGATTTTCAAAACAACAATAGCTCGTTGTCCATCACCAGCCTTTTCCTCTAGGCACTATTCTTTTAGACCTTGTCTACTGGAAAAGAGGCTGAAAAGCCCATGGCTTTTCTTTTTACAAAACTGGATCCACTCATGTCCCTTGTTTTATATCTGAGTAGCTTCCTTTTTAAATACCTGGAACTCCTGTTGGCATACGAGCCTTGGTTCTATTTTATAGTCCTTGTTTCAATCTTAGCCATGAAAGAGAGATCCATTAACTGAGCCATGAGCTAGAGATAATGACATCTCCCTCCCTTTCTGTTGAAAGCTGACAGCCCTCTCAACAGAGGTGGGGAATGGAGATATCATCTATCTCCACCTACAACAGTCCTTTCAGCAGTTCCAAGAAGGCTCCACCTCCATTTGCACTATTCAGGTAACCCTGAGAAGCCTCCAAATAGCCTCAATGAACCTCTAAAAGAATGCAAATGACCAGCTGCCTGCAAGGAATATAAATCTTTCCATTCCCCACCATCCAAAGCTGAAGAAGCTACTTCAAAAACAAAACAAAAACAATAAAAACCCAAGGAAGTTCAGTTGCCTTTTGAAAAAACACCTTTGGACCTGGAATGACTGTGACTCTCCGTAGACATCTTCACTAGCAATTTTAAAGTAGTGTGTGCATATGGATTAATCTACTAAATATTTCTACTTTGGGGCATATAAACTGCATTACCCTAGGTGAGATAACTGGATCACACAGATTACTACTAGGCATTGGCTCTTCATAATCTTTTTCTGCTACTCTCTATTGTGTTTCCTGTTTTATTCAGAGATAGTAGATATTAACAGTAATTCACCACAAATTAACAAAGCACTAACTATATTAATGTTAGTGTAGTGTATGCAGTTGTATGACTACACTAACATTAACAGGAAAATTCTGAAGGTGTTGCCAGATGTTATTTATTATACAATCATACTGCTTTATGTTGTTCCTGACCAAATGTTCTATTTGTAACATTCTTTTTTTCCTAGCTTTTTCTAGTTTTCTTTTCTACAAAGTAGACAATAATGAAAAGGTAAAACATATAATTAGTAACTTTAGGAGTGCATGATAAAGAAGTATACTCTGTCTTATTCCATTTCTTATTCATATTTAATGTACAAAGGGAAGAGAACTTGGATTTTTATTGCAAGCATCAAAACGCTGTATTTGAGTTTACCAACCTGAATTAGGTTTCTTTGGTTATTTTAATCTAACCAAGCAAGGGATGAACACTGATGTGTTATATACACACAAGATGAATTATTTATTTCCAACTCTCACACTTGCGCACTCTCAGAACAATACACATACAATCCTTTCCTGGACATAAAGCCTAAGCATTCCAGTTGCTTAAATCTACTAATGGCTAGTGCTCCTATTCAAAGTAGATCCAATACAGGATTATGTAAGATAATGCCCATTCTTCCTTTAATTTTAGTGCTTCCTCTTTTTCTCATTACAGAAACACAGTTCTTTAAAGGAACATTCACCAGTGCCACAACTCTCCAGAACAAGCCTTCAAATCGCCCAACCCCATTGTTCTCTGGCTCAACCAGGATTCGGCCAAAGAGGCATACGTGGGAGAGACCAGAGGAACAGGAATGTCAATTACGAAGTCTGCTGGTTCGTATCAAAGATCTAAGTTTGGGCTACAACTCTGAAGAGACCATCCTTTTCAAGTATTGTAGTGGGACCTGTCCCAAGGCACATAGTAACCATGACTTGACCCTCTCAATTCTGTTGCAGAAGAGTGAGATCCCAGCATTGGGAAACCCCTGCTGTCGTCCTATACACTATGAGAATGTAGCTTTTCTGGACGACAGCCACCAGTGGCATGAAGTGGAGAAACTCTCAGCCTCTGCGTGCAGTTGTGTGGGCTGATGGTTATGGAGGGAGGAATGGATGCAGACTTATATGGCAGCAGCAAAGCATGATTGTATATTTAGCTACAGAACAAAGCTCTATTATTTTATCTCAATCCAGTCCTCAGCACTTACACAAGCTTTTAAGAGGAAGAATTGCAAGAAACCCTACCATGTGATGTCTACATCCTTCACTTCAAGCACGGAACAATTCTACAGAATGACCCATACTTAGCAGAAAGCAAGAAGTACGTTCTTGAACTGGGCATATAATCTATTAGTCTTTTCACACTCTTCCCAGATATATTTCACTTAAACACATTGCTGGCTTGATGGAATCCTGTCTAAATTAGATCTGAAATGCTCGGGCAACCATTCAAAATGTTTATGGATTATTTCTAAATTCTTTCTTTCCTGAATTCCTTCCCAATTAGAGCTCCCCTTGTGTTTAACTTATTTGTTTCTTTTCTTGGAAGGCTGAAGTTATTGGTTCCAAACTTGCATTATGAATGATTGATTGATATGTACATGCTGGTATCAATTAAATAAAAGTAAAGCAAGGACAAAAACAGTGTCTCCGGTTCTGGGGTCAGCATCATTCATTGGGAAATATTTTTTTTTATATTATTTACATTACTGATGCCCCAAACATCTTAATATTGATCATTGATAGTCATTCAAACCATCATGAAGGTAAGCAGTCAAGATCAGACTAAAGCCACATGCCTATATTTTTAGCAAAAGATATATAATACTTCTTTTTAAAAACAAAATATCACTCATTAATCCGAACAAAGCTGTCTCAGCCATTTTTATTTTTTTTTGTTTAGCAGCATAAGTGATTGTCAAGAATACTGCAGAGATATAACAGGGTTTCAAGAGGTTTATTTTTTTTTTAGGAAATGGAGGGAGGAATAATAAAAAAAAACACAGAGAAGAGATAGGGTCATACAGAGTCAGGTGTAAATTTCCGGGTTGTAAATAGAACTGGATTCTAGTCCTGAGCAATAGGAGACCACAGATTCAGCCCTAGACTTTTCATATTTTACCACATCCCAATTTTTTCCAAGATTAGATAAGTACTATTTATTTTCACATTCCTCAACACTTCCTTTTTTATAATCATGACTCTTCACCTGTCTTCCACTTCTTCACTTTACCTCTTTTCTCTTCAGCATTTTGATGCTACAAGTCAAAATGTGGAAATTTCTCCTATTCCCACTCACTGAAGACCTACCACAGTGAAATCCTCATTTAGAGATACTCCAATTTAGCTTTATTTAGTTTTAGATACATAAATGTTAAAGCTAATCTTGTGCTTATGACACCTATCAGAATCTCTGAAATTATTTAATTCACAGAAATGACAACATATTCAGTTGCAACATCAATTGTGAGAAAATTAAAAATTCAAGTACTTTTTTTACCATCTGAAAAATTGGCAATACATTTATAAAGAAAAAATGGTGTAATTAGCATAGGCCCTGCTCTCATCTACATATTTGATAGCTGTAAGCATCAAAGATGTAATTCTCTTTTTTAGCCAATCTCTTTTATAGAAAGAAATCATAGCGCTGGAGAACAACTGTATAGCTGCTTTGCCAGATTCACTATTTTGAGGCTCAGCGTGTGTGATACATTTGAATACTGAGCTAAGAAGAGAACAATAGTTCAGTAACTGGAAAAGCAGTTAAAGGATAATTTAAAAATTACAACACACTAGTAACCCCTTAAAACAAATCTGTATGTTTCAATTCTTAATTTCATCTCTACCTATGACACAGCAACACACATTACAGAAAAACGTTACTTCCTGAGTTTAACAGTGTTGTGGTTCATTTTAGTTAGATCTACTTTCCAAACTGTTGCAGAGTTCCTTCTTCCTACCTGTTAAGTGCAAGAGGCAGAACACTTTCTTAGACTATGTACACTTTTAGGCTCCCTTTACTGCATGGAGGAAAGCTTCCATCACTTATTGTTGGACAGAAAACCAAAGTTCTGTGGAACAGTAGGTCAGAGCAACTTCTTTAGAAAGAGCACCATGTCAATTAGACAAAAAACTAAATTCCACTGGGAGCAACAGTCAGCCTTCGCAGTATCACCTGGCAGTTCTAGGATGATTCTTCTGGTAAGGGCAGGTTTCGACAGATGACAGAGATCCTTCGCTCCCTGGCGACCTTCCTTCCATCAAAAAAGGACTCCTCATCTTTAAGAATTTCATGAGTGAATTCATAACGAGCAGGCCCTCTTTATTCAAAGACATTAGAGAAGACATCAGTAAGTTACCATATCTTGGAAAAGAGTTTTATCCCAACTGAAGCCATACACAATTAAGAGTCTGAAAAGAAGACTCATGATTCAGAAACAAAATTCTTAAAAATAGCTCTGTTCTCAGCAAATATCCAGACTATTTCATGCATATGAACAGTTATAGCTTTTCATTAATTTCTGTAAGCTATAATCAAATTAGATATTTCCTATATCTAATATCTAAAGCACCTGCAAGGAAACAACACAAACTCCTCCTTATTAAACAAAGCAAATTTCCATTAATTCCAAAGTTAGGGAATTGCAATCTGACAGAACAACCCCAAATGTGAAACTACAGCTTGATTTTATTTTATTCTAACAAACCAGTCTTCCTTAGGTTTTGATGTAACAGGGCACCATGATTTATTAACAACAGAAATAGACATTTCCAATCTTCCCTTAGCAATAGAGGAGGGAAATATGCAGTATAATAAACACAAGACTCATGAAGCTGCATACCTGTCATATTAATTAATTAATATTAATACACACACACTCATTTTTCCATATGCTTAATAGCATTTTCCTGCAATGTAATACCCTCTGAATTAACTGAACGTAACTCCTATTAAACATAACTAATATGATGAGATATCAGGGCTGATAGAAGTTGTAATCTAAAATATTAGAAGAGTGCCAGGTTCAATAAGGTATTTTATAACTATGGCAATGGCAGAAACTATGTCTCATGTTTATGGAGAAAAATTAGTGCATTTGACTCATGATTCTTAAGTGAAATCTCTACTTAATGTTAGTACATCTCAAACTGATGGATGAACAGGCATTGCTCAAAGAATTTCTTTGAGCCAATAAAAAGTACAATTTGTGTAGTTGCAGCATAAAATATATATGGAACCCAGGACTGATCTTGGGAACAGAATACATTCCAAAAAATGATGGTGAAGGATATCACAATTAGTCTATCAAAGGCTGATATATACAATAGTTACACAGGACTCCATATATAGAAATGGTGTATCTCTGAAAACTATAACCACAAAAGCATCTACTTAGTCACTATCGGGAAACAAGATTCTAGACTAAATGGCCACTTAACCTGATTATTTAACAAAGCAATTTTTATTACCTAAGAATGTAGAGAGATCGGCGCTCCAGCAGAAGGTCCAGCCAGTCCTGTGGATTCTGTTCACTAACCAGGTGCATTACACTTGTGGACAGGAGGGACAGGCCTGCAATGCTGCAGCCACAGAACTAAGCAAAAGGAAATATAAACATTATGGGATTAGAATAATACAAATTATCTATCACTTATTAACTAATATTAGGACGTCAAGTTGTCCAGAGTCTCATGCTGCAACTGGACATAGACATTCTTTTTCTATCACCTAGAAAAAAACAGTATTAGGACATTGTGGAGATTTGCCATCAGATTCATGACATGAATACTAGGAGCAAGATACCAAATTTAAAAAGACTTTTTCCAGTGACTGAAAAGATGGGGCTTACTACTGTGTAAGCATGTATAGAACTGCACAGTTGATTTATTATGGAAGAAGGTTTCATAGACATCAATCTCCTTATCAGAACAATCGATTTCTCATAGGAACCAATAAGTCCACAGAGGAATAGATGAGTGCAGTTGCCAATGTGATTTCTTTAAGTTTATAAAAATTGACTACATTGAAGTTGCATATGGAAGTTCACATTACCAAATTCTGTAGAGACAGACAGATATGGAATATAAGGAAGATTACCAGTTTGAACCTTTCTTTCTTACGGAGATAATATTGCATTTCATAGAATTGTTCTGCATAAAAATTTACAAATTTACTACTTTATCTTAACAACTAAGGGCCACTAATACAAATGAATATAGTTACAAAGCCAACTGCTTTTCTCATTAAAAAGCAAAGTGAATTTAAGTCCCAAAGGTGCTTTGTCAAAAGGAAACTGAACTTTGTTTTTCCTTCAGTTCTGACTGAAGAATGGAAGCTGGAAGGGTTTATATTCCTTATGGTCATCTGGTTGTTAGCACTCTTTCTGAGAGTGATTAAAGCCACTTGAAGTTTTATCTGTGCCTTCAGGGTCTTGTGGATAACACAAATGGGTGTGGAACCTTTTTGGAACAGCTGAAAGGATTATGTTATAAAGACAGTGTTGAAAGACAGCAAAGTCCACATTCTAGATGAGAGGACTGCTGAATTGAAAGAGGGGTTAAAAAGACCATCTACAATAAAATTAAACAGCCCTCTCTCAATAGAGGGGGAGGGATACAACACTACCTATCTTCTGTTTACAACACAATAATTTCAATTATTCCAAGGGCACAAATAAATCTCCGAATGTCCTCAATGATTCTCAGAAAGAGTACTAGTGACCAGATGACTGCAAGGAATATAAATCCTTCCATCCTCCACCATTCAAGTCAAAATTGAACAAATTTCTTGGATGAGAAGCAAAATCCCTTGAAGGAAAAACAAAGTCCAGTTGCCTTTGAAAACTTTGGACCACCATGACCTGGATGACTGAGAATCTCCATAGACAAACTAAATTTAAGGACACTGCTAAAAATTAATGGATTCTTGCACTACCTTCAAGAATCATCTCTTCAATTTATAGCCCATCTTTGGGAACTCTTCTTAATCTGATTAATATCTAAAACTGCTGCCACCTTCATTTTACATTTGTTTTTCTGATCAAGGTTAAAACACATTTCCATTGGCAAGTGCATTTATAAAACAAACTTTCAACTTGATGAGGTCAAGCTGTATGCATCTCAGCTAAGTGTTATTTCTCAAAGGGCAGATGCCTACATCTGCCTCAGGGCAAACATGTTTGCTTATCCTCAAGTCTACTAGGGTTACAGAAAAAATGTTTGATGCTTAATATTGGAGGAAGTTCTGGAAATTCAACCAAAACATGCTTATTATGTAACTTTCTCAAAAGTAACGAATTCACCTTTTTCCAATGAGAAATATTTCTTAACAATCAACAATTCAAGTTAAAGAATAAAATTTCACAGGAATAGTAAAAAAAAAAAAAAGTCATTTTGAAATAAATTGCAATAAAAAGATTTTATTGTATGTGCAACAACTTATCAAGTCCTCCTCCAAGGTCCATCATGCAATTCTACGAAACTACCAGAAAAACTACAAAATAACACTTTCTAGGCATCTATAGATTCTATGCTATCTTACCTTGACACTGTCTACATGAGGCTTTATATAGCCACTTTTATCCAAATCCAGAACATGGACTTGAGCGAGCTGTGGCACTCCGGGAGGAAAAGCAGCATTCCGGACTCGTTGTAAGATCTCATTACATTCTTTGCTCCAGTATGATTTTTCTGTCTCCCGATACTTATGAATAGCCTACAGGAGTGGAAAGAGATGGCATGAATATCTGGAAAGAAAATGAGATAGCCATCTACAACTTTGATCACCCATATATATGCACTCCTGTGGTGACTACAGAATCTCATGCTAATCACTGAGATAAAACACCAAATATCATGGATAAACTTTTTACATTGCCTTACATACATATTTCAGTTGAAACAGCTCATAATCAAACTGAGTAATCAGTGTGAGAATATGGTACCATCTTTTCTAAAGAAAGATGAGGAATGTGGACAACTTGATAAGTGTTCATCTAACATTCATTCCCATCCCACTATACTGAAGTTTAACTTTGGTTAATATGGTTTATTATGTAATATGAACCCAAACAACATAGCTTTTTCATTAAACTATTTCTAAACAAACCATAATTTAGCATGTGTGAACTCAGTCAAGCACTGGGCATTTCCATGAACCAAATTTTATATCATCTTTAGCCAGTAGTTTGGGAAATATAGAAAAGAATAATCTTTGCTATAGAAATAAACGGCACCAAAACTATCAAGTTTTGCTTTAAACTGACCGATCAAATCCCAACAAATGTACAGTTTGCAAGAAATGAACATAGCATTATAATAAATGATTAAGGTGCAGAATTATGTATTACTGAGCCATTTTAAAAAGCTGTTTTTACTGTGAAGAGAAAAGATGGGTAGGATATAAAAGAGGGAGAATACAGATGAAAGAATTGATCTTAAACACTTATTTGCAAATAAACATTAAAACAATAAATTTCCAATAAAGGAATTTAGATTTAATACAAAATTTAGATTTAATATTCACATCCTGATTTATTAGTAAAGAGCTAGTTCATACCAATAAGATATAGCCCAGATCTATTTTATTTAATAGTTTGTATAAAATTGCTCAATTTGTATTTTCCAAATGCAAGTAGTCCTCGACTTATGACCACAATTGAGCTCAAAATCTATGTTGCTAAGTGAGAAATTTGTTATTTGAATCATTGCAGTTGTTAAATTAGTAACATGGTTAATTGAATCTGCTTTCCCCATCGATTTTGCTTGTCAGAAGGTCACAAAAAGTGATCACATGACCCCAAGACACTGCAACTGTCGTAAATGTGAGTCAGTTGTCAAGTATCCGAATATAAATCGTGTGACCAGGCAGATGCTGCAATTGTCATAAGTGTGAAAAATGGTCATAAGTTACTTTTTTCAGTGCAGTTTTAACTTTGCTCACTAAAGGAACTATTGTAAATCAAGGACTACCTGTACTTCACATAAAAAGGATACATGAAATAAACATTAAAGTAGGATAGAAATACATCACCAAGTTAAAATTCTATTCACTGACTTAATATATGCTCAAGTTTACAAACGAATGGCAATTAAACTTCTGAGCCAAATTCATTAAAAAGGACATTTAAATCAAGCAATGAAGAAACTTATTGCATAGGCAAGATTGGGTGCAATAGTTAATATGTTGGATCTTCCCATATCCCACCCCCTTTCAGTTGATATTTATACTTCTAATCCATGAACAGCACAACATCTGGACTGGACATATTTATGATTATTCTGAATGAACCTTAAGTAAACTATTATTTATATTGTCCATTTCTCAAGCCACAAATGATAAAGAAACATTAACCCACGCAAAATTAAAACTGTACAGAATGTTGAGTGCAGTTTCCCAGTACTTCCCAACCTCAAGAACCCTTGAGAAGCCCACAAGATGTGCATAGTTTCCTGCTGTACCATCTCAATAACCAGCAACAAAGACATACTTGTTAGCACATTGCCATCAAAGCAAACAACTTTCAGTAGCTTCACCAAGCAGCAGCCAGTAGCAGCAGCTCTTGGGTAGTGGATGAATGCAAGAAATCAATATTCAGAGGATGTATAACATGCCCAGACTTCAGATGTCTTCAAACTCAATCCTACCACTTCCAGTCAGAAAAGAAACAAGTAATATCAGGCTAGAATGGCTATATAACAGTAGAATACAACTGTTTGTATCCTCTTTGGGATACAAAGCATACTACTTTTAAATAGGGAGGGGCAAGATATTTCCTTTATACTTATGTTGTTCCACACAGTAATATTGTCCCATAATCTTACAAAAACTAGAATGCCCATCTTCCCATTTTGTGACCACACAATATTCGTACAAGTCACAATAAACTACAAACTAGCATCATTTTAACCCAATGTATTGGGCAAAGTAGTCCAAAAGGCTTGTTTATGGTTTATTATAGTATGTTGTGTAAGCAGAGAACATGTGGTTAATTTGGGAACCCATATGCATGCTTAGGGTTAAGTCTATTAGGTCTACTTGGTCTCTCCAAATATGTTTTAAACTGAGAAGCTTGAAAAACTTAGGTTCACTCCCGTTAGTGGTTTGTTGAATAAACGGCGCAAAGGCCAGGCTCACACAAAACACGAAGCCGGTCTTAGCCAAGCCAACTACACTTCAGCTTCAACATGGGAGCCAAGGATCCTTTCCCTCGAAGCCACGCAGAACCACCCACCCCGTCCCAGTGTTCGTCTTGATAGCGGTGTCGGCGCAGCTGCGGTTCCAGCTCCCGAGCCAGCAACGCCTCCTCTTCCTCGCTAATGAAGTCCGGCGTCACCGAAACGCCGCCGGCCTGCAGCTTTCGCCAGAGAGCCTCGCTCGACGCACGGACCTCGGCCGGCCATGGACGCAGCTGCACCTCCTCCGCCGCGGAGAAGGCCCGAGGCGCTGGCGCGGCCCGCCCCACAAGCCCCAGCAACCGTCGCCCGGCGATCTGACCGTGCGACAGCATCGCAGGTAGGGCATTGAGAAATTAAAGCGCCCGCGGTGCATGATGGGCCCGACCTCCGTTCATTTGCATATTGACGTTCCGCTTTGGCATAAGAGCAAAGTAGCCCGCGTGGTGCAAAACGTCCTTCAAGGTGCCTTTTCTACCTGGACTCAGAGGAGCTGCTGGAAGGTTGTCTGTGATTGTGTCTACGTATCACACGAGGAGGCGACTTTTGGCCTATTCAGCCTGGCACTTAGAACAAGTAGAGGTCTTGGTAAATCAGTAACCATTGCTACCTTTATGGGACTGAAAAGAACATGTGGGAGATGCTAGTCTTCATTGTCCAGGAAATATGACTTGTGTCAAATTGCATACAGGTCTTCAATTTACGACCACGGTTGAGCCTAAAATTTATGTTGATAAGTGAGCAATTTAGTTGAGTTGTGCCCATTTTTTACAACTTTCCTTGCCGCATTTGTTAAGTGAATCACTGCAGTTAACTTAGTGACAAGGTTAAGTGAATCTGGCTACCCCATTGACTTTGCTTGTCAGAAAGGGGATCACATGACACAAGCCATACATTTACGTTCAGTTGTCAAGCATCTGAATGTAAAACACGTGACCATGGGGATGCTGCAAAAGTCATAAGTGTGAAAAATCATGTCACATTTTTCAGTGCCATTGTAACTTTGGTCACTAAGCAAACTGTTGAAAGTTGAGGACTACCTGGACTTATCCAGTATTATAAGAGCTACCTTACAGATATATTCACATGATACACAACTGTAAACTGGGCAGTGTTATTTTAGCCTACTGTAATAAGTAGGGGACGTGCATAAGCACACCAATGTGCCTAATGTTTTTTTTTTATTCCTATCCATTTCATGTATTCGTAACCATGTTTATACTTATACCTGTTATCTAATAATCGCTTGACAAAATAAATAAATTGGATTCAGTTAAAAAAAAAGGGGGGGGGTAATTAAGCCATGGGTGACCAGTCTTATTTTGTGGGAAGAGCCAGAGGTTCAAGCCGTATATTGGACGGCAGGGATTTTGCAATTATCTTCTTTAGCCCATTTATATATTTTGTAAATTTTGGATAGGTGTGTGTAAATTTGAGCAGTCTCTCATGCAGACAATTTGAAGTCCAGATCAACTTCATTTCAATGAATGTAAAATTCAAGGCAAAAATCCTTGAGACCTCAATTGCTCTTCATTGTCCCACACAGCATTATGAAAACAGAAACATGCCATTGAATTAGAAGACTTTGCTCAGTTTTATAATCAAGTATATTGTTTTTAGAATCTCATCAGTATGGAAATCACATTTTTTAAAGGAATGGAGAGTTGACATCCCTCCAGATACTTGAACCACTGCTAATATTTTTTATGCAGATCTTAGGCAAGCCACTTGGAATTTTGTCCTCCTCAAGGTGCTGACATAAAAGAATGGTTGTAAGAATATAACAGTCATCTTATTAGAACAGAACAGAATTAGAATCGAAATCACACATTCTTAAAAATATATGTATATTTATTAAAAGAATAGGAACACCCAAAAGAAATCTACTTCATTTTTGGTCCCTGTTTCCACATGCTTAGAAAGGTACAAATGTTAACAAATACAGTCTAATAAATTTAACCCAGCATGTTCATAAAGACTATTTTCACTTGTATATTCTGTGCTGTAATAAAATTCAGTTGCATGTCAAACAACAGTTCCCAGTATAGGCATTTATTTCTGTTGACCTTTCTTAAAGTAGAAGCAATATGTTACATCTAAAACACAACTAAAAGAAGGAAATACGTTTTTCAATTTTAGTTGAATAGAACATACATTTTGATACAGCCTTCATGACAACATGCATTGAAACTAAATTAATAAGAGTGTGGTGAAAGAAATCCCTAGGAGAAACTGTTAAGGAAGCGATCCAAACTATCATTCTGGAGATCATCCTTCACAACTATTTCTGTTTGGCAAGCTGTATGTTGGTAGGTTTCTCTTCTTTTGCTGAGCTGTTGTGGAGAATTTGGCCTAAAAAGAGTAAATAGACAAATAAATAAATGTGCTTCTACTCTTCCTTATGGATACCCCCAAATCCAGAGAGGGGACAAAATTTAATTATTCCATAATATCTATTTTTTAAAATCCTAAATCAGTCTTTGTCAGTACAATTAACTGATACTATATATTATGTATTGTGCTATAAAGTAATAATTGGTTTCAGTTTAATGTGAATCTGAACCCGACCTTGGTTTATTAAAAATACCATGGTTAAAAACAATCCTATTTAATACAGTATATGAACCTCATCACTGTCATTCCTTCTTCCCATTGCCAGAAAGTGTCTCTTTCATATGCTGCAGAAATACACCCCAAATTAACTGAACTTAAGAGGGGGGAAAATAGACAAATTCCAAGTTACTATATATACTTATTAAAGATGTTATTAAGAACTTTTTAAAAATCAAAGATTTTTTTTTTAATGCCACAGCAAACTTAAAACATGGACACAACCAACCGAGATCAGGTACAGATGTATTATCTTAATTATAAATTGATACACTATCTGTAGTACACAGGAGTTAGAAGGTATTCCTAAATAGGAAAAGGTTATCATCTTAAAGCTACAGGTGGTCCTTGAGTTACAACCATTTGTTTAGTGACTGTTCAAAGTTACAACAACTCTGAAAAAAGTGACTTATGACCATTTTCACATAACCGTTGCAGCATCTCCATGGTCATGTGATCAAAGTTCAGTGCATGGCAACTGGTTTATATTTATGATGGTTTCAGTGTCCTGGGGTCACATGATCACTTTTTGCCATTTCTGACAAGCAAAGTCAATGGGGAAGCCAGATTCACTTTACAACCGTGTTACTAACTTACCAACTGCAGTGATTCACTTAACAACTGAGGCAAGAAAAGTCATAAAATGGGCTAAATTCACAAATGTCTTGCTTAGCAACATAAATTTTGGGCTCAATTATGGTCGTAAGTTGAGCACTTCCTGTACTTTAAATGTGTTATTCAACAAGACCAGGAAAAAATATAAAATATTACCAGTTGTCTGAAAGAATATGCTCCTTGCCTGTTACAGGGCTGCTAGTTTTACAGGAAAGCTGCTTTCTTCTAAAGAGGTCTGTTGGGGTATGGCATGGTGTGATACGAAACTTGGGGTATGGTGTACAGATGGGTCTGGCCCACTTTTTTACTCTGGGTGACTCTTCACAGTCTGCAGTCAAAGAGAAAAAAAGCTGAAGTTCTGAAGTCTGCTGTGTCAGATCAAAGATTTATTTTGTCTAGCATCCTTAATGAACATTAAGCTCAGTTGATATTCTTCGGGCCAATGGCTGCATTCACTAACATTGCAGATGCAAGTTAGCATGAAAAAAGGAAAGGAGAAATCATAAAAGAGGCATGGTAGAAAGAAACAGAAGGTTATATGTCTTGATAAAAATGATTAATTGGAAACTTCCAAAAGCTATAGAAACTCAAAAACAATTTAGAGAGATAGCATACTTTTATACGGTGATATGTTTACCACCATTCCCATACATACACACTCATCAAGTGACTACATCAATCAAAAATATTTCTGAAGGACATTATATAAAATTTATCCATGTTTTAAAAGATCCTATTCAAAATATCTGAATATCAAAATATTTGATTTGACAAGTTTCCATTTTTTGAATTTCCCTCAACACTATAATATTACTATTAGCATTATTATTACTATCTATCCACTCATCGTTCCTATCACCCATCCCCTCCCACTTGTGACTGTGTGACTGTAACTTTGTCACTTGTATCCTTACGATTTATATTGACTGTTTCCTAGTATGATTTGATTGCTTATTTGTACCCTATGACTATCATTAGGTGTTGTACCTTATGATTCTTGACGAATGTATCTTTTCTTTTTATGTACACTGAGAGGATACGCACCAAGACAAATTCCTTGTGTGTCTAATCACACTTGGCCAATAAAGAATAAAGATAAAGATTTCTGATCCTTTGCTACGACAAGACATTTTATCTAAGTTGCTGAGAATCAATTGCAAAATAGAAGGCATTTGTCAGCATGGGAGTTGCCCACCTTAGCTGTAAAAATGGCTTTAGATCTGTCTCCAAGAATTGGTCCATTAAAAAAGCCACCTAAAAACTATGGCTACAACACCTTATAGAAGTACATTTCAGAAGGTAAGCTGTGTTCTATATAAAGCAAATTTCATTATATTGTTCCTGACTTACGACCAATAAATAAGTTTGAACATCCAAGGTCTAGCATTACATATGAAAAAGTATATTGTCTGCATTAGGTTATTTGAAGGAGTGTCTTTTCCCAATCTGACCTACCCAGTCCACCAAAGTGCGGGAGCAGGGAATGCTATCAGTCCCCATTCTAAAGAGATCCATCTGCTGAGACCCAAAGGAAGGGCCTTCTCCATGGTGGCTCCCTCCCTATACCTCCCTCTGCATCATCCCTGAAGAGATAAGATTGGTCCCCACTTTGATACTCTTCACAAGGTTGAAAAGACATGGTTCTGCCAGTGACCATAGGAACCCCAGAATGATAGGGAGGCAATCAATCATTTATTGTTGTCAACAGTGAGGTGGGGTGGTTATTGCTTTTTGTACGTTTTTTTTTAATTGGGATTTTATTCTTGTAATAAAATTGTGGGTGAGTTCGCCAGCTATATAAATTTAAATTATAAATAAACAAACAAAAAACAAATAAATGTAGCTTCATGAATTTACATTATATCCACACTCAATTTTTATAATAAATTAAGTAAATGATCTTCTTAGTTTTTCTTGTATGGAAAATGATCCTATCCCTTTCTATTGAAACAAATGAGTATGTTATTCAAAAACTTGGAACATTACAAAATAAAACATCTTATCCCCTGGAGACCTGAGATGAAATTAGAATGGAGAAGCCACTACAACAGCTTCAGAAAAAAAATGACCAGCTTCTGGAGTAGAAAAGAAAGCAACACAAAAACAAGAAGAGGGAATAAGGCAGGGACTATGCACAGTGTAAAATAAGGAAGAACAGATTTTTTTTATTCCTCTAAAGTAAACAAAAATTGCCCTAAAACTACTATTATCAAGAGGGCAATGCTTGTGGAATTTCCAGAATTGGAATGTGGAAACAATGTGTGCAGATGGATAAGAGATATATTAATCATTTGCAGCTCCGATTGTTGGAATCCTGGAGATTCATCAGTATAATCTCATTGTCACCACTTCTCACAGACATTCCCCAAAGTGGTGTTTTCCAAATATGTTGTTATACACCTTCCAATAGCCATGCTATACTAAGCTTAAGGAATGTCTAACACATTTTGATAGAAGGCTGGGAAAGACTCCATCAAATGCTTTCTCCCAAAATTCTTCAGAAATGGCAATTAATATTGAGAGGAAAGAATATTGTTTTTCTTTATACTGGATTTGCAGAGGACAGGGGCAGTCTTCTGCAACAGACGCTTTACTCAAGTGAAATGCCTCCTTTCACAGATACTGAGTAAACTCCACATAGGGCAGAGATGCCCTTGTTCTGTTTGCAGGTTATACAGGACCTGGAGGGAAGGCAAAATTTTACTTGTAGCATCAGTGCCCCCCCAAAATTAAAACCCAAAGTAGAAACAGAACACATCTATAATTGCCTTTGGCAGAAGCATGTCCTCCAACAATTGCAAAGGATCTGGGGAAAGGTAAATTGCAACCTTTAATAGATCTTAGACTACTAATCCAGGCTCCATGCTTTGGAATTCATAGACCTTGAATATTCCAAGAAATGTGAGTCTCTTTCAGCAAAACTCTACAGCAGCGGTCCCCAATCTTTTCGTCTTGGCAGCCTGGTGGGGGCGGGGAAGGGAGAAGGGATGGTTCTGTGTGAGAGGCAGGCCCGCGCATGAGTGCATGCAGCTCCATTTATGCAAGCAGTAGATGCACGCACCCACCCCTCGCACAAATTGAGCTTTGCACATGCATGCAAGCACCCATTGCTCACTCAACAGGAGCTGCACATGAGAGTGCCTGAACAAGCTACAGCCCAGGACCCCTGCTCTATGGCATTAGTTGATAAAGTGGCAGAACCAAACATAGTTCTTTTAAGAACCAATCTGATGTTCTCCAAATGTATTAGGCTACAATATCATCCTCAGCCAGCACGTGGAAGCTGAAAAAGGCTTAAATGTATCACCCATTTTAAATATCCCATCACCCTCATCACATTGGCCTCCCGAGTGCTCCACCACATTTCTCAATACCCCCATCACATCAACTCTCCCACTTAGTCATGCAGGGAAATTATGTTATGGACTCTGCCAGTTAAAGAATTTGGATTGGCGGGGTCAAGGAAGAGACCTTTTCTGCTGTTGCCCCCATCCTCTGGAAAAACCTCTCCCCCTGCCCCCACCCCCCCAGGAGGTGAAGCAGGCCCTCACACTCCTGGCCTTTTGAAACAGTTTGAAGACTTGGTCCTGCCAGGGGATCACATAATGACACACAACTCTAGGGTTAGGGTTAGTGCCTTGAAATCCCTCCCCGATCTTTAAAAAGTTATATTCTTTTTTTTTTTTTACCTCACTCCATTTATTTATTTGATTTTTATCCCAGTTTTATCATTTTTGATAAATAAGTAAAGGTGCAAACATAATGCTCCTTTCTCCTATTTTCCTCACAACAACCCTGTGAGTTGGGCTGAATGAGCGTGACTGGCCCACGGTCACCCAGCTGACTTTCATGTCTAAGGCAGGAGTAGAACTCACAGTCTCCTGTTTTGTAGGCCAGGACTTAACAACCAAGCTTAACTGGCTCTCACCCATTTTTCCTTTTTTTATTGATATTTTGTCTTTTTATGTCATTTATATGCTTTTATATTTTAGATGTACAACTCCCAAAGTCACTCTGAGAATGAGATGGGCACTACCTAAATTTGACAAATAAATACTGGTAAATATTTGTTTTAGGAAAGACTGTAGGTTGGCCATTGCCACATTAAACAGACAACTATTTGAAGATACACTATTGTTTATTTCTTTGTTCAATTTAGCTTCTGCCTTCCCTTCGGGAACTCAAAGTGGTGAAATAGCATTCCTTCCTCCCATTTTTCCCACAACAACCCTGTGAAGGACAATATAGTTACCATGCTCTTCTCTAAGAGGAAGTGGTGCAGAAAGTCGCCACTTAGTATTTCTCCTGTCTAGCTTTGGCAATGACTTCAAAAATTCTTGCTTCAGGGACTGAGCCTTCTGTTCTTCGAACTGTTTCCTCTATCAAGAAACAAGCAGGGAATATACTTATTAGGATTGTGCAGAGCTTTGCATTCAGGCCTCAAAAGTTGCTTTGGAATATTCAGGTAGCATTTGCCCAGAATAATTTAAATCACTTCTGTCTTTTCCTAGGCTAGTGTCGTGGCTTTAAGGTGCTGCAAATACAGTATATGTTCTGGATGCATGCTGTTGAATCACATGAAGCAGAATCTCAAATATTGAGCAGCCATTATCTATTCAAATCAGTAAGAGGGCACACTGAGTGATACCTAGAATGATACACTGAGTGACACCCAGCCACTCACTGTTATTACTGTATAGTTCACTACATTGTATTTTATCCTAGTGTAGCTTTAAAAAGAAAAGTCTCTTCTCATTTTCTCTTAGTCCCTTCTCTTAATCTCTATTGCCCTTTCTGCTTTCCCATTGTTCAATCTAATCAATACCCTAACCTAAGCCTAACTCTGACTTTATCACAAGCATACATTTAAAATTCTTCCTATTGCCCTCAAAGCTTGATTGGGCCTCTATCTCAATATGTTTTTTGAGTTATTGTACCTAGCCCAGTGCAGAATTGTTCGACCTCCTAGCCATTAAAAAAAAAGCTCCCTCTACCATGGTTTCTAGATTTCTTCTCCTTGTTTGCACTGTCCTATTGCCTCTCAAACAAGAAATCCCTCTGTTACACTTCTCCCACTGGTAGAATTTAAAATAAACCATCATTACGGTTCACCTTGCCTATAAGTGCTGCTAATTTTTTAAGCAGTATAGGTAAACCTCGACTTACAACCACAATTGAGCTCAACATTTCTTTTGCTAAGCAAGACATTTCTGTTGCCCCATTTTGCAACCTTTCTTGCCAAAGTTTTTAAGTGAATCATTGCAGTTGTTAAGTTAGTAACATGGTTAAGGGAATCTGGCTTCCACATCAACTTTGCTTCTCAGAAGGTCACAAAAGTTGATCACATGACCCCAGGACACTGCCAGCGTCATAAATACGAGTCACTTGCCAAGCATCCAAATTTTGATCACTTGACCAAGGAGATGCTCCAAATACAGTCATAAGTCACTTTTTTCAATTCCATTGTAACTTTGAACAGTCACTAAATGAAATGTCATATCTCGAGGGCAACCTTCAGGAGTTTCTTTTGGGGCCTACAAACATTCAAAATTTGAGAATAACCAGGGAGCATTGTCACTAAAAGTCTTCCGTGTAAAAGAAGGCTCTAAATGATCTATCTCTCCCTCATTTACTCCAAGTTACTTAGCTGTTTCTCCTCTGCCCATAATATTGGTTGATTTTAACAAAGATGATTTTTTTTTTCTTATGGGCTACCATAAGACGATACTCCCAAACACAAAGGGAGAAGTCCAGATGAAAATCTACTGTAGGTTTTAAAGAGGAATTGCTGGTGTTGGCTATAATATAAAAGTATCAACTTGGCCTTGAGGAAGCAGGAGCGATGATGACAGCTCTCTACCTCCCATCCTAGTCGAATGGCTGCTTCAGTAAAATTCTTCCGTTCCACTTCAAACGTTTGTTTCTGCTCCTCAAACAGCTCTCGCTCCTTCTGTAGCAGCTGTTGTTCCTCTAAGAAGTAGGAGCCCTTCAAGTGAGCAGGCAGCTCTGAATTGGCAGCAGACATCAATTGCTCCTGAAAAAAAAATTGAATTAAATGTACAGACAGATCCACAGAGTTCAAAAACATGAATTTTTCATTAAGGCCAAGCCTTTGTTCCAGACCTCCAGTTAAGCTATTGCTTTACAATAGCTTAACTGTTACAAATTTCCTTAGCAAATCCAGCAGATGTATACTTTGACGAGGATGATTAGAATTCTGCCATGAAGAGTGAAGTGGGCCTCTCACAGAACTACAGCTCCCAGCATTCTTGGGAAGAACAACAAGTTTATTAACTAGATGAATAGAGTGTCTTTTGCTGCATGAACCAATAGAGGGAACTAGAAGGCTAACAAAAGGGAAAAGAATGAGAGTTTCTTTGAAATGCCCCAATTATGAGAACTAAAGGTATTTTCAGTGTTTAATTGGGTTTTATAGCAGCATTTTACTTACTGTGCTGCTAAATCGCTTTTTAAAAATAAATATTCTTGGACTCATTCAGAAAGGTCGTTTATATGCAAATAAATGTGTTTGTTAATTCAGTAACTGAATATGCAATCAGGTGATATCAAACTAATGCAGAGTAGACCACAGAGCATAGAATAATAGGGTTGGAAGGGACCTTGGAGTCTTTTAGTTCAACCTTCTGCCCAAGCAGGAAACCCTATACCTGTGATGGCCAACCCATGGCATGCATGTCACAGGTGGCACCAGGAGAGGGCTTCAAAAAATTTAACTGGTTCTCTGCCTGGTTGCTGGGTAGGCCTGGCCATGGTGAGCGTGGCCTAGTCACCCTCCTGCACCCGGGGGGGGGGGGGGGGCATTTTTGCCCACCCCAAGCTCCAGGGGCTTTCCTCAAACTCTGGGAGAGCGAAAACGGGGGCTTCGGGGGCTCCAGAACTTCCAGGAGGCCCATTTTCCACCCTCCTAGCAGGGGCGGGGGAACAGGACCAGCCAGGAGTGGAATCTGCTGGTTCGCTGAACCGGCCATAAAATTAACAACTGGTTCGCCCGGACCGGTGCGAACCAGTTAGTGGCCCACCCCTGGGTGGCATGCAGAGCCCTTTCTGTGGGCACGTGAGCCATGGCCCAGGTCAGCTCTGCCGCACATCTGTGTATGCCTCCTGCTGGTCAGCTGATTTTCGGGTCTCTGCTGTGCACGCATGGGGGGGGTGCATGTGTGGGGGGTGGGGCGCATGCGCAGGGGGGTGTATTACATTTTGGAGATACACACGCTTGCGCTTTGGGCACTCAGTGCCAAAAAGGTTAGCCATCACTGCCCTATATCATTCTGGCCAAAAGGCTGTCCGGTCTCTTCTTAAAAGTCTCTAGTGATGGAGCACCCACAATTCTGGAAGTAAGCCATTCCACTGATTAATTTTTCTCATTGTCAGGAATTTCTTAATTCTAGACTAAATCTCTCCTTGATAATTTTCCAGGTGTTACTTCTTGTCCTGTCCTTAGGTGCTTTGGAGAATAGGTTGACCCCCCTCTTATCTAAATTCAAAACATCAACATTAACCCATCAGGTCGTTTTTTGGTAAGGAGTTGCTTTCTGCTTTCTCTGAATTAGGGAGGAAATGACAAATACAAATAGTTCTCCTTCCAACTACCAGCCTTCGATATCCCACCTGCACAAATGGCTAGGAGTACCAGGAGAGAGCAAAGCACCTGGAAGCAGCCATTTACCTGGAAGCACTGCTGCTGCAATGCAATCAGCCCTCGGCTCTCTTCAATCTCTTTCTTTAGTTTCATTATTTCCTTGTCATGATCTGTCACAATGACCACAGGGTTTGGGCCATCTCCCTCAGACATTTGGCAATCAAGAACTGGGCAAAAAGATAAAAATAGAGACTTGCTTGATGTACTTTTTATCTGTAATGGGGTGTGGTGACGCTAGGCTTCTTGACCGGAAGGCTGACAGTTTGAGACCCAAGCACTGTGTGATGGAGTGAGCTCCCGTCCTTGCCTCAGCTCTTGCCCACCTAGCAGTTCAAAAGCATGCAAATGCAAGTAAATAACTAGGTGCCACTTTGGTGGGAAGGTAACAGCATTCTGTCAGCCTCAGTGTATAATCATGCCAGCTACATGACCATGGAAGCATCTACACACCATGCTGGTTCCCTCAGCTAAGAAACAGAGATGAGCACTGCGCCCTAGAGACAGACATGACTAAACAGAGGAAATCTTTACCTTTACCATTATAACTTGGTTAAGAGAGTTGGGAAGCTGGCTCTACACCTTTTAATGTTTATCTCTAATCTTTCTTTGTATTGGAAAACAATCAGAGTTCTACCTTATAGGCTTGTAAACTAGGTCAAATTGTAAAACTGTAAATAGAATCAGAAACGAGCATTTATCTTATACATTCTTTTTTAAAATGCCAACCTTGCAGACAACCAACCTTTTTAGGTGATATTAAACTCTTTACAACAATCTGATGGCTTGCCAACCAGTTTTTAACTGGTTGTCTTCCATCCCATGCCTTTGCTTCATAACAACTGTTAAGTCACAGTGTAGCCTATCAAGAACCCTGGGACATGTTTTGATTATAAACAGCTATTTGTTTTCAGTAAATATGCTTAAATTAGAGGCTTGTTCACTCATGAACTTGAGTTTAAGTTGCTTTTGGATTAGATCCAATTAGAAACAAGGCTCACCAAAACAAAAAGAGTAAGTCATATGCCATGGCAACCTGGCAAAACCTGCCCTTCACAGGTCCTTTGTGAGTTGAGTTCAAGACAAGGGGAGAATAGTTACACATCACTTTAGTGCCAATTCCAGAACACCATAAAATATTTTACAGTTGATCTGAGCTTATATATATATTGCTGTTAAATTATTTATGGAATACCACAAAATATGACAGTATGAAGCATTAATTTTCAAGATTCCAGCTGCTGTCTGTTGCCTTGCCGGCACATAGTTTACCTCTGTAATGGAACATGTTGGATAGCTCAGATTTTGGGAATTCTCCTCTTTGGACTTTCTTCCTTTCCATATATTTATTGTGCTGCTATATCCTCTGTATTTGTATGTATATTACAGTTTTGATTAACTAAACACCAAGCATATAGTGGAAATAGAGGGAAGAACAAGACCTGTTTTTCTGAACAGGCCAGAAATGTCAGCATTCTATTCTAGAAACCAAATGCCACCCCTGGATGCTCCCAAACAAACATAAAAGGTTGTCCTTGTCCCTTTTCTGCTTGGCTATGTTCTCATCAAGCTTATTGTTCTTATTTATTTTAGGGCAATTTATTGTTATTTTGGAATGATATTGTTGGAGCACTTTAATCCAAGTTTAAGCGCAAGAAATCAGGAGTGAAGGTTGAGTCCAAAATTAGTACAAGTTTATTCCATGCTACCTCTAAACATCCAAATTACTAGTGAAGAAGGCAAGTTGGTGATAGACAACAGTCAAGGGAATTCAAGGAAGGCTGGACTTAGATCTCTTGTGCACATGAAGGGATTTCAAACTAATAATATGCTTGACTCCTCCCTCAGGCTTGTTCTAATCACCAGGTTGCCTGTTGATTTAATATTTGTAACTGTTTTGTGTGTGGGGGGGTTAGTTTTGTGCATCACCCAGACCTTACTGGATTAAGTGGCCAATAAATTCAAATAAATAAATAAATAATTCAAAGTGGCAAACAAAAAAATTGCAAAAAGTATACCTTCTTATCTCATATCCCCTCCATGAATATGTGCAATTGCCTTTAGAGTTAGCCCATTTAGAGTCTCGTGATAACAGCACTGAAATCCTCTTTGAAGAGTATGGTGTGGAAGTTACTGTACCTTGGTTATGAACAGCTTTTATGGTATTTCTGAGCCTACCCCACTGTTCCTGGAAGGACTTATACGGACAACTTTGCTCTGTGCCCTTGAGACAAAAAAAAAAAAAACCACCAAAAAGATTAAAGGAGGTTAACCAAAAGATACTCCTTGCTTAACAACTATTTATTAATGACTGCTTTAAGTTATAATGGTGCTGGAAAAGTGACATACAACTTATACTTTCCCGGGGTCACATGATCATGATTCAGGAGCTTGACAACTCTTGCACATTCATGACAGTCACAGCATCCTGCAGACACACGTTTGCCATTTGCAACCTTCTCAGGCAGTTTGCAACAAGTAAAACCAATAGGTAAGTTGGCAGGGAAAGTTGTAAGTTGTGATCACAAAATATCTTGCTTAACAATAAATATTTGGATCCCTATTGTGGTCATACATTGAGGACTACCTATATAGCTACCAACTGCTAGAAGTATCCCCAGGACACCCTTACTCTGGCACTGCCCCCATCGGTGGCCAGCATCTCTTCCAAATCTTGGGTCACTTCGTTCAGCAACTGTTTCAGTTTGGCATTCTCAAAAGCCAGGCTCTGTTCCCGTTGTTCCTGCTTGGCCAATTGGATGCGGTAGAGCTCTTCCTCCTTTCTACAACAGTAGAAAACAGAAATATACAGCTGGAATATTGCCAGCATAAAGCAAAATGTTCTTTAATCACTAATTTTTGCAAAAAAAAAAAGAAGCTTCTAAAGCATTCCATTGTAGTTTGTGTCACATGGTTCAGCTCAGTACTTGATTGTCTCTTAAACAAAATGTGAGCTTAGTTCCTGGCGATGGAAACGTAAGTTATTTTCTTGGCAATTATATGAGAGCCATTTGCTGTTGCCTTCTTGGATTTTCCCAACTTACCAGGCTCAGCTATAGCTATGGATTTTTTTTCTATTTCCCATCCAAGTACTAACCAGATTCCATTCAGCATTTTCCAAAACTGATTGCATAACAGCTTGTTGAAGCATTATCATCTACTTTATCATTAGTCATTCACCACCCTAGGAATAGCCACAGTTGTGCAAACATAGTAGTTTCATGCCACTCCTAGAATAGTCCTTAGGAATCACCATTCCTGGATTTGAATGTTATAAAAGTATAGTTGAAAATGCATGATGATGGATGAAACTTAGCAAAATCTCAAAAACACATAGTGCTGTCCATTTCTTTATAAATTTCAGAGGTTATTTCTCTTCTATAAAATGCTTCTCATGCTGAGAGCCACAAAAGTGTTTGGGGGCATAATCTAGGTTTATAGCTATTCCATAATCTCAGTATGGCACATCTACCACAGATATTCATGCCACCTAAATCTCAGGTTCTGTCCTCCCCTTGGTAGGCTAAATTCTTTCAAAGGTTTTGCACAGCAACATCTTTCTGAACAAGAGGTGGAGGTAAATGCCAGCAACTTACCTCCCCAGGGATCTCCCAGTTTTCCAAGTGGCCCTCCTGCCATCCATCCGAGGAAGAGCATTGAGAATTTCAATTGCTAGGAAATAGTAAGCCATTATGCCTAAGTAGTGAATCCACTCACTTTCCCCAGCCTTCTTTCCCAGATTTCACACCCAAAAATCAGAGGTGAACATTTGCCCTCAAGTTCTGCTAGCAAAAGCTCAACACCTCTTCCTTTCATTTCCGCTATTTAAATTGCAAAAGAAACTTCTCCAGTTTAATACTTCAGAACCGTCATTATGCTGGCTTCTAATCTAGCCTGTGGTTAAGAAACTGTCTGTGTTTCCCAATTGTCAGAATACAGCTGAAGCAGTGGCAGGGCTTTCCTGACCTATTCACTTAATAAATTCAAGAAAGGGGGAAAAACAGACCCAGGAAACTACAGACCAGTCTAACATCAATATCTGGAAAGATCCTGGAAAAGATAATCAAAAAACAGATCTGCGAATAAACTAGAAGCAAATAAAGGTATAACTAATAGCCAGCACAGGTTTGTTCAAAACAGATCATGCCAAACAAATCTTATTTCATTCTTTGATAAAGTGACTAAATTAGTAGACCAGCTAAATACTGTGGACATAGTATACTTAGATTTCAGTAAGACATTTGACAAAATAGACAACAACCTACTTCTCGGTAAGATAGAAAAATGTGGAACAGACAACATCACCACCAGATGGATTTGTAGTTGGCTGACAAACAGTACTCAACTGTACTATATCCACATGGAGAGAAGTAAGCCGTGGGGTACCATAAGGCTCCATTTTGGGCCCAGTACTCCTAAATATCTTCATAAATTACTTTGATGAGGGAATTGAAGGGGAACTCATTAAATTTGCGGATGAAACTAAGCTGGCAGGAATAGCCACCACTCCAGAAGACAAGTTCAGAATCCAAAAAGATCTTGAACAATGGGCCCTATCTAACGAAATGAATTTTAATTTGGAGAAAAGCAATTTTTTTACATTTAGGCAAGAAAAATCAATAACTACAGATTATGTGAGACCTGACTCAAAAACAGTAACTGTGAGGGGACCTTGGAGTCCTAGTGGATGATCATTGGAATATGAGCAAGCAGCCCAAAAAGCTAATATGATCCTGGGTTGTATAAATAGAGACGTAGAACCAATCTCACATGAAGTATTAGTACCCGCTTTATAAAGCCCTAGTAAGAGTAGACCACACATGGAATACTGCAAGCAATTTTGATCACCATACTACAAAAGATGGTGAGTTTGGAAAAAGGTTCAGAGAAGAACAACTAAGATGGTCAAAAGCCTGGACACTAAAACGTAAGAAGAATGGCTGCAGGATTTGGGTTTGGCTAGTGTAGAGAAGAGAAGAATTTAGGGGTGACATGATAGCAGCATTCCGGTATTTGAGAGGCTGCCACAAAGAAGAAGGCTTCAAATTATTCTACAAAACACCAGAAGGTAGGACAAGAAATAATAATTGGAAACTGGTCAAAGAGAGAAGCAACCTGGAATTAAGGAGAAACTTCCTAACAGTGAGGACAATTAACCAGTGGAACAGAAGTTGCCTCCAGAAGTTGTGGGCGCTCCATCACTGGAGGTTTTTAGGAAGAGACGGGACAGCCACTTGTTTGTTATAGTTCTGCTGCTTGAACAGGGGGGGTGGACTAGAAGACCTCCAAGGTCCCTTCCAGCTCTATTCTATTCAATTCAATTCTATTCTATTCTATTGTTTATGTTTTACTTCAAATATAATGTACGTCTGTTAACACTCATCGATAGCTGGGCTCTGAATTCATCAATAATATTATGAACATCAATTTTTTTTAACGAAGCCTTTATTTGATGCAGTATTATTTTAGAAATCATGCATATCCTTAAGATCACATCTTCCAGCAAAGACTCTTGCTGAATTTAAAACTCTCCTCACTAGTAATCCTTATCGCATCTTAGATCCTCGAAGTACAAAAATCATGGCTTGGTAGCTGGCTAACAAAGTGCATTTGGGGAAGGGAGAGAAGAATACTTTTGAGTCTTCTGGTTGGCTTATGAATAGCTGGTTGCATTTATATTTTTTCCCAGGAACAAGTCTTGGAAATCTACTAATAATTGATTAAAGCTGGTTTGATCACATAGGTATTCTTCCCCCAAAATGTGGGGGTGGGTGGGTGGAGTTATACACATTGTGAAGACTTCAGCAGGAAAAGTTGATTATTTTCTGCTCATTCTAAGATCAACAAAAGTTCATCTTAGAATATGAGTGAGATAAGATCAGTGTCCCACGATCCAGGAGCCATATCAGGGTTTCCAGATGGTTCTGGTACCTGTAACAGCAAATAGTAAAAGGGCCTGCATTTTTTTACTCCCCACTTGTAACTGCTTACTTACTTCCTCTCTTGTCTGTCTTGTGAGTTAATATCTGGCTCATCTTGTCTTTCACTCGAAGCAGTTCTTGTTCCTTCCTCTTCATTTCATGACCATGCTGGTTCTTCTGATTAGCCAGAGAACTGAGGAGCTTGGTGATCTGCTGGGAGAATCACACTTACATTCAAAGCTAGGAGAGTAGATAGGGTCTTCCCACAACTCCAGAAATCCAAGCAGTCTTTGCTTTAATAGACCGCTATCAACTTTCTTTCTCTCTCATACACAAGCGAAAGACATAAACTGCTCTACAGGCCAGCAAATTTCAGGCCACATTGATATATATTAAATGAAAAACAATGGAAAATGAAAAAAGCATTGTATTTGGGGGTAGGGGGAACTATGGGTAAAGGAGGAAGAAAAGGCATCACATATTAATCGAGGATAGCCTGCTTCTATGAAGTTTTTTAATCTAATTGTAGACAATTTAAAAGTCATTGATTAGGAACGGTTATCAAATAAAACTGTAGACATTCAAACTAAAATATTTTAAAATCAAATCCATCAGCATTTGTTTGTTTTGCTTGTTTCCCACCTTTATTATTCTCTACAAATAATTCCAACACACTTTCCTCTTCCTATTCTACAAAAGAGACACAAGATGGGTTGAGAGATCTTCATTCTTTTAGAATAAATACAATCTTAGCTATTAAATCTTGACAATATTTATACTTACGGAGAGAGTCCAAAAGGTGTTTACAGTGTATATGCTTGTCTAAATTATGACTGTTGAGTGTACAGGTCACGTCAAACCCAATTTCATGACACCGTCTTTTGCTGTGCATACTTGTACTGCATTTAAAGTAATTCAGACGTTAGTCTGTTTTCTTACACTCCTTTTCTCTAACCTGTGCTTTTCGGATATGTTGGATTAAAAGTCCCAGAACTTCCCACTGTTCTAGGCTCTACACATTTCAACAGGATCTGGAAGTTTGTCTTTAAATGTTCAATAGCAATCATTAATAATATAAAATTTATTAAATAAAAACTAGAAGATGGGATTGTACCTAGAGCTCAAAATGAAGGATTTGCAGTACAGGTAGTCCTCAACCTACAGCTACAATTGAGTGCAAAATTTCTGTTGCTAAGTGAGACATTTGAGTGAGTTTTGCCCCATTTTATGACTTTTCTTGCCTAAATTGTTAAGTGAATCACTTAAGATAAGTTAACCTGGTTGTTACGCGAATCTGGATCCTCCATTGACTTTGCTTGTCAGAAAGTCACAGAAGGTGATCACATGGTCTTGAGACACAGCAATGGTCGTAAATATGAAACTATTGCCAAGCATCTGAATTTTGATGGAGATGTTGCACAGGTCATAACTGTGAAAAACGGTCATCAGTCACTTTTTTCAGTACCGTTGTAACTTCGAACAGCCACTAAATAAATTATTGTAAATCAAAGACTATCTGTAATTTAACTCCAGATGGATCAAGAGTGACGTGAGGAGCAATTTCTGGGAGGCTGACCTGCCCATCCCTCAGAGATGCTTTTGTGTTGCTCCCATTCTTTTTGGTGACCCAACAGTTCTCAGCAGGCTGCATCCATGTTAATTCAAGAGAGAAGATATTCAATAGACTCAACGCTTTCAATATTAGAAGGGCTGAATCAGTCATTCTTCCGTTGCTTCACTCACCTCCTCCTTCTCTTCTTTTAGCATATCGTTCAAGTGTTTGTTTTTGCTTTGAAGCTGCTGTTCCTTATTCTGCACAATTGCAATTTCCCTTTCAAGTACTTCCACGCGTTCCTATAAGGGTAGGGTGGGGAAGGCAGACAAGAGAAGGAATCATAGCAAAGAATTAAATCAATTATTATAATTCTCCTGACAGACCGCAAAATATAAATTACTTCATTAATTGTATGACAGAACTAAGACATTAGTGTAGGAATTACTAGGAATGAAACTCTCACTGGAGAAAAAGAACAGCATCAGCAGTAATTCCAGGCTTGGAGGAAGGATGTTTTTTCCTCTAATCTGGGGTCAGAACATACAGTGGATATACAAAGTCTACACACCTCTGTTAAAATGCTGGGTTTTTCAGATGTAAAAAAAATCACATAAGGTAGATCACTTCAGAATTTTTTCCACCTTTAATATAAATTGTACAATTCAATTGTTTGTTTGTTTGTTTTTTCGTTAACTAACAACAATACAATTCAATTGAAACACAAACTGAAATCTTTTAGGGGAGAAAATAACAACAAAAATGTACAATAAAGTGGTTGCATAAGTGTGCATTATAAGTGGCTGCTTTGGGGCTGCTTTTCTTCAGCTGAAACTTGGGGCTTTAGTCAAGGCGGGGTGGGAATTAGTAGAGGGAATTATAACTGATTCCAAATAGTCAATTTTGGCATAAAAACAAGAGTGCTCTATTAAAATGCTAAACATGACGAAGAATTTTACTTTTCAACACAACAATGATGCAAAGCATACCTCCAAATCAACAAAAGAATGGTTTCACTAGAAGATCAAAGTTTTGGAATGGCCCAGCCAGAGCTTGGACCTGAATCCAATTGAAAATCTGTGGGGTGACCTGAAGAGGGCTGTGCACAGGAGATGCCCTCACAGGCTGACAGATTTGGAGCACATTTACAAGGAGGAAGGGCGAAGATCCCCAAGGAAAGATGTGCCATGCTGATAGGCTCCTACCCTAAAAGACTTGAATGCTGTCATAAAATCAAAAAGTGTTTCAACTCAGTGTTTATTTAAGGATGTGCACACTTATGCAATCACATTAACAGATGGATAGAATCAAGTTCAGGTGAAGCGTTGGTACTGCTTTATAAAGCCTTAGTAAGACCATATTTGGAATACAGCATCCAGTTTTGATCACAATATAAAAAAGACTTTGGGATTCTGAAAAGAATGCAAAGCAGAGCAGATGATTAGGGGGCTTGAGGCTAAAACATATGAAGAACAGTTGCAGGAATCGGGTAAGTCTAGTCTAGTGAAAAGAAAGGACTAGGACATGATAGCCACATTCCAGTATTTGAGGGGCTGCCACAAAGAGGAGGGGGCCAACCTGTTCTCCACAGCACCAGAAGGCAGGACAAGAAGCAATGGATGGAAACTAATCAAGGAGGGAACCAATTAGAACTAAGGAGAAATTTCTTGACAATGAAAACAATTAACAAATGGAATGGCTTGTCTTTAGAAGCTGTGGGTGCTTCATCACTGGAGGTTTTTAAGAAGAGATTGGACAGCCGTTTGTCCAGAATTGAATAGGGTCTCCAGCTTGTACAGGGGTTGAACTAGTGGTCCTCCGAGGTCCTTCCAATTTTGTTATTCTAGTTTTTGTTGTTATTTTTCCTCCTGAAAGATTTCAGTTTGTTTTTCAATTGAATTGTACAATATGTTATGGCATATGTTATATGTTATATACAGTATATAAACATATAACATATATATATGTTTTCTTAAGTTTTCGCAGGTATTTATATGTATGGCATTCAGCCTTGCTCGGGTATTTTCCCACGTCATTATAATTGTGCTTTTAAAGTTGTAGCAACGTTTCGGCAGAATCTCATCTGCCATCATCAGGCTTCTGTATTGTGTTTGACTGTGAGTCAGACTATCACAGCCGTTTCAGTTTTAAATTTCGGGCAGCCTACTGCTGTGCCAGAATGAAGCACAACTACAAAAAGCACAACTACAATGACGTGGGAAAATACCCGAACAAAGCTGAATACCATACATGTAAGTACCCGCGAAAACTTAAAGAAAATATATATACATACATACATATATATAATATATAATGTATGTCAGGTGGAAAAAATCTGAAGTGCTTTTTCTTTTGGTCTGATTTTTTTTTTACATTTAAAAAACCTGGCATTTTAACAGGGTTGTGTAGACTTTCTATAGCTGCTGTACATACACTGTATAAAGGAACATGTGCCTATATCAATACTGCTGTATATACCACTATCCCAGATTTTTCTTTTTTTCCATACAGGACAACAATAAACGGATATTCACTTTTTTTGTACCGATGCGTTGCAGGAACAGAATGGAAAGGGCCAGAGATATGGCAAATTATTATTTAACAAAATACTGGAAGATTTTAATAACTATCTTTGCCAAAGTTCAAATATAGTTGCCAAAAAAATCATGTGCAATTTAAAATGGAAATCTGCCCATTTTAATCAGTTGAATTTCAATAATTTTATTTATATAAGCAGAAGAGGAAATAATGTATCAAAACGTGCAACTGCAATGATTGCCAAATATAGTCACAATTCACTGCTACTACTATTTTGATGCAAACTAGCATGAATATTCACTTTTCTGAAGTACTCCCAAGAAATTATCTCATAATATTTTGGAGTAATGAGTAAAATGAAATTGGGGGGGAAAAAGGCAATTACATTCTTCTTGTGACTCCCATATATATATATATATATACCATATCTTTACTTGTGTAAACAGGGAATACTACATTCCTAAGAGGTCTGTAAGGGGCGTGTCTTAATGTTCCCTTTTATTATATCTATATCTATTTCATGTATTAATAAGCATGTTTATACTTATATATATTATCAAATGCATGCTTGACAAACTAAATAAATTTTAAAAACCTTTGCATTTGAAAAAGTTTTCTGGTTAGGTGGATGGTACGCAAATATCTATGTAATCAAGCAAATGAGGGAGCTTTTAAGCAACCTGGGCTTAAGCTGAATTTGAACAACTGTCCATCTCCTTAATTATTCAGGATTACAGTATACCTATCTCTTCACCTGTGCTGTGGTCATAAGTAAATCCGTAGCTTTACCCAGCATGCTTAGAAAATTACATAGGTTCGGGCTGTGGGCAGGATCATAGCCATATTCAAAGCCTACACCACCCCTGTGCCCTGACAGAAGAATCCAATAGATTGCAATATGTCCGAAACCTTCTAACAAATATCAAATATTCATCACCCTTTAGAGCATGTAAGCATCAAGAAAGATATTACACAACAATCACTATGTATTAATGGACAGTTTGAGAAAACCAGAACCATCATCACACTACTTCTAGTTATACATCTAGTTTATGATGAAAAGGACATCTGAGCAATCCACATTTATATTGCATATTTTTACTTTGGGTAATTATTAGAACATTGTAAATTGAAAGGTAGTCTGATGGAGCTGTTGGGCAGGCAGGCAAGACATTGGGGAATACTCCATGATTGTCCCTATTAGCAGACTATCTGAAAGGATGAACTCTGCTGCATGAATTCCTGTTCATTCCAAAATAATTGTACATAAAATTTCTTGGCAGATTGTGCTCCATTGCCATTGGTATTGGGGTTTTTTTTATAAAAATGTTTGGATTCCAAAGCATCTTCTGTTAGTCACTGATACATTACAGGATCTAGAAGTTCTGACCTTGAGTTTACCCTGCTGTTCCCTCAGATAATCCTGCTCTTCATCCCGCCGCATCTTCTCTGCCTCCATGGCCCCCAGCTTGGCTGATGCACTTTGGTACAGATTCAGCAGTCTGCAAGCCCCATTAACCAATTCCAGGAGGTCAAAGCCGTGCTCAATACCATCTCCGGAACCATCATCCTTATAAAGGGCAGGGAAGCCCAGTGCTACTAATTCCTAGACAAATGTACAGTAGAAACATAGAAGAGGTAATAGCAATAGCAACAGCAACAGCAATAGTACTTACACTTACATATCGCCTCATAGTGCTTTCCAGCCCGCTCTAAGCCAGTGGTTGCCAACCAGTGGGCCGGGTACCACTGGTGGTCCGTGAGAAAATTTTGGTGGTCCGCAGAGAAATGTCACCGCCAAAGCACCCCCCAAAGCAATTAATCCAGGCTGTGCAGGAACACAAGGCTGCACTGCCCACATGGCCCGTGGGAACACAAGGCTTGTGTCACTTGCATTGAGAACAACATGAGGTAGTGAGTGGAGGGGGGACTTGTCCCACTCGCCCCACACGCCTCGCCTGAGCACCGGGCTGCTTCTTTCCACTTCTTTCTTCTTCTGCTTTTGGCTGCATGCAAGGAAAGCAGCAAGTCTTTCTTTCTCTCCCCCAAACTCCGCCAGAAATGAGTCTTTGGGACCCTGCTCCAAGGCATCCTGCTCCAAGAGGCTGTCCATTCTGGTGGAGTTTGAGGGAGAGAAAGAAAGACTTCTGCTGCTTTCCTTGCATGAAGCCAAAAGTCTCTCTCTCCCCCTGAGAATGGGGCTGGAGACGATATCCTGCAATCCCAAATAAAGAATGATTGATCAGTAGGAAAACAGGGTGGGGGATTTTCCCAGGGTCTCTGGTCCGCGGGATTTAAAATTATGAATTTGGTGGTCCCTGAGGTCCAAAAGGTTGGTGACCCCTGCTCTAAGCGGTTTACAGAGTCTGGGTCCTCATTTTACCAACCCCGGAAGGATGGAAAGCTGAGTCAACCTTGAGCTGGTCAGGATCAAATCCAGGCTGTGGACAGAGTCAGCCTGTGATACTGCATTCTAACCACTGCACCACCAGGGCTCCTAAAACATTTCAAAAGACGTGACTGTCATTCTTAATAAATAATTAGCATAAAAATACATAATAGAAACAGGGTGGTATCTTTATATGATACACAAGTGCGTTACAAGATTTCCATTAGGCCTCCTATTTCCATTAGCCTCAAGGTTTTAAGGCCTCAACATCAGGCCAAACAAAAGAGAGAGAGAAGAGAAAGAGAAGGAAGTGTGGTGGTTTGTACTTAACATCTAAAAATGTTGCCTTTAAGGTCTTAATAGTAATTGATTTTCTTCTCATTATAAATTATAATTGCAGGATATCACATTCTAGGGTATGTTCATGTCCAAGCACAAGGGAACTGCAAACCACATTTTTTTAGGTCAAGCAGATATCCACCATTTTCTGCTTCTAAGTCCATGAGCCTGACCCAGAGCAAGTCCGTCAATTATATTTGTTTTTCTCACATCATAAAAAACTCAGTCAACCCACAGAACCCCAGAGCTCCTCAAAGAGAGGCACAAAAGGCCCACTCATCTCCATTCATTTTCCTCTCCTTGTTATTTTTCAGCTAGTTGCTCACTTTTTGTAGCTGCTCCTTGATCAAGTTACTCATTGTTTTTAAGCAATCTTTTTCCAAGCACCAGTACAATTCTGAAGGATCAGCTTACTATGAGACTTTAAAACATTGACCCAATCTGGATTTGTTCTCAGCATTATCAAAATACCAGAATTACAAATACTTAAAGAGTGAAATTGAGTGAAATTCCACACCAATAGATCTGTTTACATGTAGATGATTTAGTCTAGCTTTTCTCTTAGCAAGCTGATACAATCACTTAGAAATTAACTTTCTGCCCAAAGTTGCATAAAAAAGACTCTTAATATTTTAAAAGATCTCAGCAAATGATTAGAAGGCACATGGCAGTTGCTCACTTTCAATTATTAGGGCTATGTAGCACTTCCAATTCAAATACTCTGAAGTTCCTGGAGATACACATTTAGAACCTGTCTACAATTCCAAAACATAAATGCATTTTTCCCCGGGAATAAGGCTACACAACAGAGATCAAGAGGCTTATACTAGACTAACATATGGTTTTAATGACACTTCATAGCAGCTGTCTACAAATCCAAAACATAAATGTATTTTTCCCAGAATGAGGCAGCAACTGCAAAAAAAAAAAAAGGCCTTTCTCACTTTGGTAAGGTTATACACCAGAGATCAAGAGGCTAGACTAACATATGGCATTTCATGGCAGCTCACCTTCATGGAAAATGTGTACCTTTTGGTGGTGGTGGGGGATTTTCGGGGGGGAAAATGGTGGACTGAAGGCAGCCCTGTGAAAAAGAGAGTGATGACCATGGGACTGGAGATTGGACTGGTTCTTCAATAATTAATTCTACTCCAGACAATGAGAGCACCTAAGACTGTTCACAAGTCCTTGCAAGGAAAACACAAGCTAGCAGTCAGGTGGATTTAGCACTCTGGGAGGTGGGGAAATAGACATCTTGCTCAAACTATGGTTAGTGTCTTTGAAAGGACATTAAGCTTGCATACTTTCAGAAATTCCTTGTTAATTGATTTTTAGCTATTATGAATCTTTGGACTGACAGGTTTTACAATACCAGGTGAGTTTCTTTCAATCGTTTGGGGAAGAAGTTTTAACTACAAGTTTAAGCGTCATTGAAATTCTGATGTTGGAAAGCTACAAATAGACTAAGGGTCCAGATAAATTTGAAATAACATTTTAAATTATAAAGAATCCTTCCCAAAGGAAATACTTTTGCTCTGATTTTTTTTAAATCATTATCTTTTCTGTGTCTTCTACCTTTTCTTTCAGTTTTTTCAAGTTTGTATTCATTTTACTGTTGCTATTCATTCAATGTGGTCCCCAACAAAAACAATAAGTAGCAAAATGTTGGAAATATCTAAAAATTCTCTGAATGCAAATAACATATGAATAGATAAGCTTTGTCTTTTGATATTTGGGAACTTGACATAATCAAATGCAGTGGAAAGACCTATCAACATTCAGAAGACTTGATGCCTTTTCACACATCTTCTTCTCTGGCCAGAAGATGCCTACCTTATTGAGGTAGGCAATACAGTGATCCATGTTATCACTCCAGCAGACAATATTATCTAACTCATGAAAGCTTCCCTGTAGCTCCAAAGAATCAGTGAAGTGGGCTGGACTGAATGCAGACTCAGCTGGTGAAAAACCCAGCTCAGATATATACTTGCTCATGAAGCACTGTTCATCTACAAGGAAAAGTACAAATAAAATACAAAAGGTTATAACAAGATGGGGTTATAACAATTATAAGAAGAAAGAAGAGTCCAGGGATATTGAAAGCCAGTTATCATAGTTTGGGTACCAATCATAAAACTCTGTTAGTCCTAAGAAAGGAAATATTTTCTAATGACTCCAAGTAGGGAAGAGCAATGTCCAGGCAACTTGCTCATATCAAGAAACACTAATTTTGTTCCACACATTTGTGATCCACCACTAATAAACAGCCAAGGGCAGATCCGAATGCAAGCCATCCACTCATGCACCCGCAGCACAGCAGATGGCAGCACTACCAAATGTTAGGGATTCCCCATCCAAAAATGCTAGGCATTTAATTAGCAGTTGGATGGAAGGGCACTCAAAAACTTTTAATAGCTAAAAAGATGGGCAGTTGAAAAAGATCCTCTAAAAAAGCTAACAACAAATCACTTCTGCATTGCTATTGGGAAAATTATATAGATGTATCTATGAAATTAATCAAGTGCTGAGTGCAAATCAAGGGAATGTGAAATGAACAACTGCATTCTGCAGACCATAACCCCAAGCTTTCCAGTAATCAGACTAGGCTTTCTTCCCAGCTGCAGTATAATAATGTACACACTTCAGTGATGCTCCTTTTTCTTGTCAGAGGAGGAGGAAGAGTTGGTAACCATAAAGTAACAAACACAAGAGCCAACTTGCTGTATTAGATGTCAGACAAGGATTATAGACATCCATACATAGCATTCAGCCCTGACTTACCAAATAAACCAAAATATGTTTGGGTTCATACAACATGCTCATCTAAACCATCACTTACTAAACTCAACAGCTGGCTTTAATAACATACTGTACTCAAGTCAAATGCCCATGAATGGAATGGTTATATTAGGTGTGAACCTTGTGTACGTATTTCTGCAACAACAGAATAACAGGACTACTCCTGTGGAAGTTCATGAATAATCTCATTATTCTAAGAACAGAGCAGTCAACATGCATAGCTCTTGACTTCCCAAAGAAAGGGAGAAATGAAATTGACCAAATTAGCAAACATTGATGGAGAATTAAACATTAACAAATATTTGCTCCTAAAATGTCTTTCCAATTGGGATTCAACAGTTACCTGCTAACAACTCTGCTCTTGGTGTGGCTGGGATGCTTAAAGGTTCCATTTTCTCCTTAGCATTCATTCAGACACCTTCAAAAAAAAACCCAAGACATTATGCATTCCTTTGCAGCATGCTTAGATCAGCAAAGAATCAATTATCAAACCTCTTCAACACAATAACAACTTGAATATATCCCTATATTTGTAATTAATACTAAATTACTGGTATGGCTTTACCAGGGCTCACTGCATTGTTCCATTCTACTCTGCCGTGATCAGAACCTTTGACCTGCTAGCCCATAGTTAAACAATGACAGTGACAAATTGAAACAAGCTCATACTCCCATACCTGGCCTTGGCTGATACTGAAAGGCTGAGTAAGTTTAAGTTCAGTGAGTAATTGATTGGGAGACCATAGGAAATCCCAGGGCTTATAGAAGCCAAAAAATTCCCTAAAGGGAAAATGGTGAATTACTTTCTGATGTTGCTTTTTTAAAAAAAAATATTCTATGGCATATCCATTAACAAAGTCACCCTCCAAGGGGACTTGATCTTAGTCTGCAAGAGATACAAGATGGCTGGCAACTCCAAACAAGGAGGCTCAATCCTTTAAATAAGTATTTACTGTTTATTCATTTGTGTTAAATTTCTTTAGAAGCTGGGCTGTAAGCACATTAAATAATAACGTTTAATAATCCAGATTACATTCAAAGGAAACTTATCTTCACTGAACAGATTACTGTATGTCATAACAAACATATTGCTTGATATGATTTACATTACTGTATTTAGTGGTCTCCTTTAGTGGTACAGTACACTGCTGTATGATAGCATGCATATTGATCAAGCTATGTGTTAATATTACTTAATGTATTTACATCTCAACTCTTAAAATTTTACAAAGCAAAAATATGAGCAAATAGTAAAGGGCTTATATCTAAATCTTCCTCAGAGTCCTTATCTGATCATTCTCTCTGCATCAGATTGAAATATGATTGCCATCTTTTCCAACTATTTTATTAATTTGAGAACAAATATTAAAGGATCCAAATATGAGTGCTTTTCTTCATCCCCAAAATGTGAAAGCAACATTATACATTGGCATGTAGTAGCTAAAAATTTTGAAAGTTATATTTTTCTTTTCGTATTTCTTTTGATCTGTACATGAAAAGGCTTAATCAGAAAACATCTAGGCCAAAATTTGAAGGAGAAACCATTCACTTTTTCTATACCTCACACACGTACATCTTTAAAGTCAACTGAACCTTAAGTTGTTGACATTAGAGTAAACCAATGTTTAACTATAGTTTATAAAAATATAACTGATTGGTTTACACAACTGTAACAAGCTAGTTATATTTTAGCAGTCACAATCCACATTTGTGGCAGCAATCAAAATCATATTCAGTGAATTAAAACCTTTAGTCCTCTCCTCCCCGCCTCACTCTAACTCATACAACACACGCAAATACTAGAACGAAAAGGGTCTATTCTAAACCCATCCCTTATAAACTAGTTCTCCAAATAGCCTAGTGTTTATAGATTGTCCAAAGAAAACTATAATTAAAACAATAAAACCGTAGAAATGACTTAGAAATTATCAGTAAGTTTTCAACGGCAAAGTATGATAATTTAGCCCTATTTAGACTCTTTAGTTTCCCCCAATGCCGGTTGATGAAAAAAGCCCACCACGCCGTCCCCAACTGAGACTCGCCACCCTGTAATTGAAGTCCCTTCGAACGCCTTTTCTAAAGTCCCCGCCCTTCTGCCGCACTATTCCCTATTGGATAAAGTCCGGATTCGGGAGGGAGTCTGCATCCCAGGCATGCTGGGATGTGTAGTTCAACAACTTCGATTTGCTAGGTATCGGTGATTTGATGTACATAAAGCGTGAAAACAGCAACCTGCTTATTGTCTTCCTTCAGCCGGGGGGGCGGGGGGGGAACCAACCTGAGCATTTTCGCAATCTGCTCTACCGCAAGAAAACCAAAATAATAACTTTGAGAAACCCTTGAGTTTAAAGATCGAATGTGCCGAGGGAAGGACTTGGAAGATAAGAGCCAAGATAGCAGTAACTGTTTTAAAACTTAGAACGACATGAGATGAGAATACAAGGCCATATTTTTAAACTACTAGACGCCATTTATTTTAAAGAACGTCTTTTTTTTTTAACAGCGAAAGAAATAAATACAGGGCAGAAATAAAGGTCATTACTGAAAAACAATTACAGGTAGTCCTAGATTTAGACCTAGACAGTTCATTTAGTGCCATTCAGTTACAATAACACTGAAAAAAAGTGACCTATGATTTTTCACACCTGCAACCATTGCAGTATTTCCCCATAATCACATGATCAAAATTCAGATGCTTGGCAACTGACTCATATTTATGAAGGTTGCAGTGCCGGAGGTCATGAGATTACCTTTTATGACCTTCTTACAAGCAAAGTCAACGGAGAAACCAGAATCACTTTACAACCGTTACTAATTTAACAACTGCAGTGATTCACTGTGAAATGTCTTTTGTCTTTTGTGAAATGAGGCAAAATTTGCTTACCAGATTTTTCACTTAGCAACAAAAAATTAGGGCTCAATTGTGGTTTTAAGTCAAGGACTATCTGAAAGCAAAAAGCAGCACATGCAGGGGATAAGACTAGGAAGGCCCAGGTTCACAGGATGAGCTCAATATTATACTTCACAGGATTGTTGTAGGGAAAAATAAAAAGAGGAAATGCTGTGTACAATGTCTTGACCCCCTAAATCAGGTCTCCAAACGTGGCAACTTTTAAGATTTGTGGACTTCAACTCCCAGAATTCCTGGCTGAGGAATTCTGGGAGTTGAAGTCCACAAGTCTTAAAGTTGCCAAGTTTGGGGACGCTTGCTCTAAATGAAAGATGAGATAGCATAGTGGTTAACGCACCCAATTGGAAATAAAGAGACCCTGAGCTCTATTCCCACCTTGGGCATAAAAGCCAGCTGGGTGACTTTGGGACGGTCATTCTTTCTAAATAATGAAGATGTAAATAAACCTCAGATACTAACATCCATAAAATGTGAACTTAAAACTTCCCAATTTGCAGCATGAATTGAGATCCAGCTTTTTCCCAAATTACCTTGTATCAATGGACTAAGAACATTGGCTACGCTCCAAGAATATTCATGAGCCCAAAATTGGAAAAGCTTTAAACTTGGACAGCCCTCCAGAGAAAAGACCAAGTAGGTACAGCCAGGAAATTGTTACACAGACATCTTTTGCAACTGCTTGATGTAATATATCCAAAGACAAATATTCATCTAGAACCTTGTTCATATTATCTTGTTAAACTTTGATTCATAGCCAACTGATAGCAATAATCAGTTGAGTTTCTACCAGATATCAACCAGAAACCAAACAATTATCTTGTGACTTAGTGCTGAATGAAAACTCTATGTTTAATCCAAAATTAGGGTCCTACCATAGTAGATTGCCCAACTTACTTTTATCATTTCCTACTAAATGGTTTTCTTTCATAACAGTTTAGGAGGAGCAACTGCTTACTCTGACAGTATGTACTGTATGACGATGCAAGGTTGCAAGCTCAAATAAACAGAACTATTTTTCAATGATCACTCAGGAATGACAAGTATGCCAAGACAGAACCACTGTGGTTGATGCCATAGGAATAAAGAAGAAACTAACAATCCTGATTCTTTGTATTCACTTTCCTTTGTATTTCATTTTTACTTTTCTGTGAATACCTACATGACTCTCCACGTTCTTATGTAAGTCACAAGAATATTTGCACAAGGTGTAATAAATATACACTGCTTCATAAAAGCCTTACTTGCAGTTATAGGAAAATATACCCGTTTTACATGAGCCTGTGATAAGAGAATTGTAAACCAGGTAAGAGTTTTCCAGTTGCAACTGGAGCAGGAATTTGGTAGGAGTGGAGTTTGGACAACAAGCGAGGACCTATTTCAGATCAAGAAAAGGTACCTGCCCAATAGTTAGAGAGCAATTGATGAAGTTAATCAAGGTGATGGGGGAAAACTCTGCTATGGACATTATGTGTACAAATGGTCTGTTTTGCAACTTATGACCTAAATAGTTTTAATCTACAAGTTGCATTTTTAAACTAGCTGTGCTCAACACACCCAGAAATTGCGTGGAGGGGGGGGGAGCCTCAGGATAGGCTTTTATATGTTACAGAACATTTTTAGAAATAAAAATAAAGAATATCCACACCATACAAGTCAAGGTTTAATTTCAATCTATTTAAAGAATACTATGAATTAGGAAAGAAAATAAGGATAGGATAACAACTGGATCCCAGAGTGAAAAGGTCAAGAGACTGGCTTTTACAAACATTGTCAAGTGGCTTCTTTGGAGCATTCCTTAGGAGAAGAGCTAGTTAGATGGACATTCCCTGGCAATTGTAGTGAGTTTGATCAACCAGCCCCATTTCCACTTCACTGTTATAATCCATGATGCCACAACGCATCTAAACAAGGCTACAGATCCCTCAGGGTTCAGCCGAGGAAGGGGAAATAATAGGTACAGGTGGAGTCTCTTTCTGTACCAGCTCCGGTTCATCTTCACCATCATGTGGAGGATGGACAAGCACCTTGTCTAAGATGCCAAATTCCTGGGCTTCCACAGGGCTCATGTAACGATCTCTCTCCATTGCAGCCTCTGTAAAGGTAACACATTTTAACATGATCTTGGTTAAATACAGATAATCATTAACTCACAAGTACACTTACTGATGTGCCTATATATATTTACTCCCATGCAAGCCTTCAAAGCTAAGTATATAAATTTGGGCAGCTTTAGAAAGACAGAAATTTCTGAGAGGAAAGAAAGAACTTTGTTAATTGCAGAAAAGGCATCTCTCCCAAACCATGAAATTCATCTAGGTGCCCAAGTGAAGAACAGATGGAAAGTGGTGTAACGAAGGGCTCCTGTCTTATCACACTGCAGTCTGAACAAGCTGACTTTTAAAACTGGGAAACAATTTAGGCAGGAGGTTGGCCTTCCTATACTCAGCTACTTGCAACTGCTCCCAAGACTGGCTCTTCCCCAGCCCTTCTTCCTGCAGTGGAACATTGACTGCTTCAAGGGAATGAAAGTGCTTACCAATCACATCCAGGTTCTGCTTGGTGTGTTTGGCGTAGATGCCATTGATCTGTTTCTTCAGTTTGAGGATTTCTTCAGCTTGGATGGCAATGTCTGTAGCTTGGCCCTGTTAAGTGGAAGCGGACAGAAAATATGGATGGCTGCCTGCGAACACATCTTAATCATCACTAAGGACCAGAGGTATGTGAGGGGATCATGATCTTTCATGTACCTGCCCACCTCCATTTCTAACTTCATGAGACCAGTGCCAGTTATAATCACAATGGCTATGTGGGGATATACAGACATCTCTAATTGGAAGCAGCAAGGCCAAACTTACCCGGGCCCCACCTGAGGGCTGATGGATCATAATGCGGGAGTTGGGTAGGGAGTGGCGCATGCCTGGTGATCCTGCAGCCAGCAGCAGAGAGCCCATACTGGCTGCCTGTCCCACACACCATGTGCAAATAGGGTTCAGGATGTACTGCATGGTGTCATAAATAGCTAATCCTGATGTCACTGTACCACCTACAGGGAGAACCAAGTTTATTCCATTATAGTGATTCTCAGATAAGGATAGAACAGGCTTAGTAGAAGAGACACGGTGGCGCAGTGGTTAGAGTGCAGTACTGCGAACTACTTCTGCTCACAGCCAGCTGCCTGCAATTTGGCAGATCGAATCCCACTAGGCTCAAGGTTGACTCAGCCTTCCATCCTTCTGAGGTGGGTAAAATGAGGACCCAGATTGGGGGCAATATGCTGATTCTGTAAACCACTTAGAGAGAGCTATAAAGTGATATATAAGTCTAAGTGGTAATGTTATAGTAACCTAAATTTTCAAAATTAACCCCCCCACCATCATTTTTGAAGATACCTAAGAAAGCTTATAAGCAGAATAAAAGTAGTTCCCAACTTACAACCACAACTGAGACTAGAACTTTCTTCATTAAGCGAGGTGATGAATTGCACCCAGAATTTTTGCCACATTTATTAAGTAAATAACCATGGTTAAGTAAATCTAGCTTCTCTCTTTGACCTTGCTTGTTGGAAGCTGGCTAAAAAGATCACAAGTGGCAATCACTTGATCCTGAGATATTGTAACCATCCTAAACATATGCTAGTTGCCCCAATTTTGATCATATGACCATTACTATGATGAGGACAAGTTCTACTTTTTGTGTTGTAACTTCAAATGTTCATTAAACAAACAAGGGCTATTTTTAAAGGGATGCAAAGTAAGGAAAGATTGTGACAATTAAATACATGCTTGTCTTGAAACATGACTGGATTTGTACACATACCAGGCTGAAAAAAAGTTAATGGCTTGTGTGTGCTCTACAAAACCAGCCAATGTGATAAGTTTATGATATGGTATAGCTATTATTATATCTTGGGGAGAGATGACTTGTACACAGAAAACTGAGCATCCCCAATCTCAACTTCACAATTTTTCAGTAGCAAGAGTTCTGCACTCTAAAGCAGAACAAGAAACACAAGATCATAGTAAGTAATTCGCCTCTTTTGACTGAAACACAGCAGACAATAATGGGGAAGCACTCTTTAAGAAATAGGGAGAAATTAAAACAGATCACAATTGTTTGTGTTTCCATCACAGAATTCACTGCCATACTGGGAAAATGTTAATTGTAA